TGAATTTTTAAACTAAACAATTTTAGATGTAGCCTAATAAGTATCAATTTTTTAGAAGTTTACAGTTAATCGTTTGTAACAGTAAATATGGTAAATAGGCCTATAACTCAAAACAAAAATGTTCGAAACAGCTTCAGTAGGCCTAGGCCTAAGAGACTCATTTTCTATTAAGAATATCATTTAAGTTAAGTAGCCTAATGAATCTTCGTGGAATTTTGGAAAATAATTAGGTACAGATTTTATGACAGTTAACAGTTTATAGGTAATAAGTTAAAGTTTAAATTTGAGTAAATAATTTAAAACGAAAAACATAACGTTCAGTATTTGGAAGTGCTGTAGCCTAATTCCAAACTTGTGTTCGGAACTTACGCTTGGCATATATTTTGGCATTCTAATTCTGAGCGACTTAAATTAATCTTACAAGAAGTTAGTCGCTATGTCTTTATCACAGTTTTAAATAAAAGAAACCTGTTTAAATCATAACATTAACAACTAACTGCTCTTAATCACAAGTTATCGTTATTAAAGCCTGTGGAAGTTGACCGTTATCTTAAGGAAACGGTTTTGAAGGAATTTGCCAAAGATGTGAACAGTATGTAAGTAACCAATGAGATATTGATATATATAAAGTAGCCTGACGTTGTAGGCCATTCGTGGCGCGACTAGGCCTACCAATTGATATACTTAGTCAGCACTGAACGTGTTAGCGGAAGATAAAATACTGAACATTTTGATGTGACTGACGCCTTTGTAGGGTTGATAGTTACTTAGCTGTAAGTGGTTAAACCATAGACTAAGCAACACAAGTAGACTCCTCATCCCATTGTAAATTTTGAAGCTTGTTTTTTGCGTCTAGTTCATGTACGTCCACACTGATCGCTAGTGTAGACAACATTTTGTTTCTATTATTTTAGGGTTATTTTCATGATTTGTGCTTTACTATTTGGTTATATAACTAGGAGACCAGTTATTGCTTATGATTATATCGTTTTATTAGGTTAAACAAGGTTTTAAATTATTGCAATAACAAGAAACTAATTGTAAACAAAACATAACCTCTATAGTTGGACGTACAGAACTAACAATAAAATTGGCTTCAGCTGTTCCATTAGGATGACTAATCTACTAAGGGAGTATGTTTTATCTATGGTTAAACTTAGACATTTGTATTTGTACGTTTGACGCTGTGTGAGACGGGCCACAAGGTCAGAGCGTGACATCACACCTAGGTCGGCTCGAGGTTCCACGCGTCTTATGGCATCGAGGCAACCTCCTATATACTAACTTGAGGGTAGGCAAGGCCCATCCCAATTTGCTAAGTTAATATAACTTAAGGGTGGCAACGTTGGGCAGCATTTAGAACAAGTAAGTTAGGGCACAACCAAACTCACTAACATTTCTCGGCCATCAGATATCATCATATTTCCCGATTGCGGCAAAATTCAGTTAATGTGTTATCTTGCGGTCATGTAGACATTACCATCATCTTCTGCGGTCCAACGTGACAGTTGTATAGCACAATCACGCCAAAATCATTAACATCTCCTACGGTCGAGTCTAGACAACTTCATCGCCACCCGCAGTCAAGGTAAAGTGGTCATCTTGACTTAACACAATAGCGAACAATATCATGAAAATCTCCCGCAGCTGTCTAAACAACATTATCATCTCCCGCAGCTGTCTAAACAACATTATAGTCTCTCGCAGAAACGAAAACGTGATTGTTGTCTAAGTTAGCGCGATTGCGGCAAAATAATGAATAACTTATTTAATTTGACATCAACTTAAGTTAAGTTACGTGGTTCATAAAATTCCAGACTGTGACAACAAAATAAGCTAACTTACTAGGCTAACTTAGACACCCAGCAAACACAAATAAGTTATGTAGGTATAGGCTAGCTACTTAGCAGTAAGTTAACATAAAATAACTCAAGTTAGGCCTAAATGTAGGCCTAACCAATGTTGGGGAGTGTGTTTTATTTTAATCAATGCTAGAAGAGTATGCGGGTTAATGAATGAGGTTAAATTCACTTAATTAAATGACAAAAGATCAGAAGAAAATCTAGCCTATAAGTTAAATTCATTAACTTAATGGTGATCATCGATGGTCGACCTATCGTTAACCCTTAGAGTGCCAGGCGAGAAATAAAAGTAACGCTCAAAAAATGCTGATGATTTTTCCCGAAGGTCGCGCTAAAAATGCCGAGCGCGATCTGGCGATTTTTAGGTTAAAATTTTGTAAAAATCGAATTTTCGATATTTCGACCAACGAAAATTGATGTATCGCATCTAGTAACTTTCGACTCAATGTTAATATATGGGTTATGACAACTGTTCGATCATTACGAAACGTCCGGTCAGCCGGACGTTGGCACTTTTGGCTCGTTTTAAAAACGTCCGGTTCCCCGGACGTTGGCACTAAAAGGGTTAACTTAACCCTAGCAGTGGCCGATCGACTCCTGGTGACGATCTGACGTTGATGCTTAGAATGGCCAACGACTCCTTGTGACGATCTGGGCCGAAAATTTTTTATCGGTAAAAAAAAACACTTACAATCAACTCAGATGAGAATAATATATATACCATTCGAAAGATCACATTCTGAACTTTCATTTTATTACATAAACAAACTCTGTAGCAGGTATATAACAATGTCACGACGATTAGAAATCAAATGAATTTTCGACGCGGCACGACTTTTGCAGCAGACACTTGGGAACTGGCTAAACACGTTTTGTTTGGCATTACCCTGCTCGGGTAATTTTCATCGTGGGATGTTGCGAGTGGTACCACTGGATAGCCATTGATTTTATCTTCATTGTGGTAGTAATATTTATAACGAAATATTGATTGCACAACCGGTACGATTTTATGAAAACAGCTGTTTTCGAAATTTTTAACAAATGGCCAATCGACTCCAGATGACGATGTGGAAAATACGAATTACATACAGTGTAATTTATTATTACTAGTCATATAGTATACCATTTTGAAGAGGAAGAAATTTAGATTCAGAGAGTGGCAGCCCTGCACTCAGGGTTATTTCTAAATGCTCGCATGTAGACGACGGAAGTGAGTCATTACTGCTGCAGTCTGTCAGCTGTCTTGTATTGCCATTGTTTGTTTGTGTTGTTGCCGGTAATAGTTTTATCCGCGATTTATTACTAAATATGTTATTAGTTCGTAGTGTTAGTGTTAGTGAAGTGTTGTGTGTGTGTGTGTATAACAGTAATCTTCATGCATAAATATTACTGAATAGTGTGAAATAGTGTTCATAAAAGGTTGTATTTTGTTAGCATCATGTCCTAAAATGACGATTCTGACATTCAGAGATTGTTGTACCTATATAATGATATACCCAAGGTGTTATACATTTTTATAAAGGTAAATGAATACACTACAACATGTTTATAATGGTTTGGGGGTAAAACACTTTCTAAAAAAGTTATAGCCTATACTAAATAGGCCTAGGCCTACTACTGTATTTTGTTAGCATCATGTCCAAAAATGACGATTCTGACATTCAGAGGTGCTTTATATGCTATATAATGATTTACCCAAGGTGTTATACATTTTTATAAAGGTAAATGAATACACTACAACATGTTTATATTGGTTTGGGTGTAAAAAAATTGGTAAAAAAATTATATAGGCTAGGCTACTAAATACTGTACACTCCATTTTTTCTAAATGCGCAAAAAATTCAAAACGTTCTCAAATTGATACATAATCATAGGTGAAAATAACTTTTTACCATCATTACCTATGACTTTTTTGGATTCCTTACTTCATTTAGCTTTACAAATATGTAGGCTACATATCATCAGCCTACATAATGTTTCACAACACAAGAAAACACTGTAGGCTATAGTTTACACTTATTTGCGGTTTTGCGGTTATTGTATTATTATGTCCCTATTGCGTACCTACAAAAAAAATATTTCTAACATGTTATACATTTTTATGTAGGTAATTGAATACACTACAAGATTATTATGTTGGTTTGAAGTAAAAAAATTTGATACAAAAGTTTTATACTAAGTACTGTGAATTTTTTTTCTCGGGAAATCGCTAAAATATAAAAACATTATTTTATATACGTATGTTTATAGGTAAAAAATTATTTTTACCATAAACTTTATGACTTTTTTTGATTCCTTACTTTATTAGTTTTACAAACATGTATATATTATTAGTATACACATATATTATAGAACTTTTTACAACATAAACTAACACTGTACGGTTTTCAATTTTTTCGGTTCTCCGTTTGTCATTATATTTTGCCTCAAAAACTTATAAAAAAAAAATATTTTCCTAACATGTTAGGCCTATATATTTCTATGTAGGGAATTAGATTGTCTACAAAATGTATATAATGAATTTCCCATAAAAAAATCCGTAGAAAAAAAATACCGAGGCCGCTTTTGAAATTTCAAAAAAAAAAATCAAATTTTTTTATTTTTTTCACTTTACCGATAAAATACACTGTCTAAATCATTATGATATTACTATTTCTAGATTCTCCTCTTCTTTCCGAACAAAATGAATATCCTAATGTGAAAAACATTAATTATCAAAGCCAATCCCTGCCAAAGACAAGACCTACGGCCTAACCTAAGTTTTGCAATAGGCCTACCTAAGTTCAGGAAATAGCCTAAGATAGGCTAGGCCTAGGCTAGCTTACCTCAGACTGAAGAAAATTTTCTACACAGCATTACAGTAATCTAAATAGGCCCTACCTACCCTAAGATTTCCCCTATATAAGATGTAGGCCTACTAAAAACATTTGCAGGGAATATAGCCTAATTACTGGAATTATTGGCTGTGGCCATGGAATTAATGATCCACCAAAATGGCTGCCAAGTGAATTAACTTGAAAATTCAGCTTGAAACTCACTAAAATTGCAATCGAGAAACCTTAAGAAGCTGTAAATTGTTGTGGGTATACAACCAAAAAGGTGTTAAGTAAAATAGATACAGTTAAAATGTTAACTTACATTGCTGCAATATGTTCCTTTTGAGCAAGCGAGAAATGCCCCAACACTTGCACGGGTGGTGTATGAAAGAGGGAAATAACCCTCTATTTATAAGTACAGGAACACGCCTGAAACAAAATACACTAATGAACAATGATATAGTTCTATCCAGCGAATAACTATGTACACAATTAGGCCACACAATGGAATCTAACATCAAAATTCGATAATTAAGATAGAGTAGGACAATAGATCAACTTACCACGAAGACAGCAAGATGGCGAAAGGGAAGTGCAAAATGTTGGAACAGCAGAAGTGGCCAAGTGGGCTTTGTGAAAGGTGGATGAATTGATTTCCTTTTCCTTCCCCCTCCACTAGATTTCCAAAACATGCGAACAAAGTATTGAACGAGTCAACGTGGTGCAACCACTGATTATATACAGTATTTAATCATACAAGTCATGCACTGGGATACGGCCGCCTGGCCCCACGTATGGTGAACATCTCATATAATCAGCATCTCATATAGTTGACATAATCGGAATATTTCAGTCTTGGCCATTGGAGATGTTGACCGTCTGACTGGGACCCCACTTTCAAAAGTGAGAGTGAGCCCATAGACCCCAACACAAGCAGCAGACCACTCATCCCATTCCCATTGTAAATTTTGAAGCTCGTTTTCGTGACTAGTTCATGTCCGGTGACACTTATCGCTAGTGTCGTCAAAATTGTGTATCGACAATGTTATGTTTAATAATTTGTGCTTAACTATTTGGTTACATAACTAGGGGACAAGTTATGGTTTATGAATAAATTGTTTAATTTGATTAAACAAGGTTTTTTTTTAATGACTGAAATAACAAGAACCAAATTGTATAAAAAACACGACCTCTACAATGCACCAGACGGAACTGGCAATAACGTTGTCTTCAGCTAATTCAAGAGGATGAGAAATCTTCTAAGAGAGTACAGTATGTTTGATCTATGAGCCCGATCGCATATAGAAACCTGCAAAACTTTGATTTTGCTTAAATCATAGCCTCCTCTATAATATGCGTTGACTGAATACTGCACTAATTGTAAAAGATATAACTGATACTCTTACGTATTGTGGTGAGGAAAATCTTCTTCGTCCACCACCATATTACGGAAACATAATCATGGTTTTCCATGATCACAGAAACGTTTATTGTCAACCTCTTCGTGGCAAAATAATGAACGTCTTCGCGGTCACGCGGGTCAGCCAATTAAACATCAGTATATCATCTCCAGTGATCTTGGCAAAAGTGCTAAAAATCTGCAGTGCTCACGGGAGCATTATACCAATCCTCCACAATCACATGCGATCAATAATGTAGGAAGCTAATTTTTTGGTAAGCGAATTTCCCATATAGGGAATAAGCTATTGCCGTAGTACTCATGGTAAGACCTGGACGCGGGGCCGATTTTTCTTCGTTTTGAGGTCCCTAGAGGCAAAAAAACCATCCGTTCAAATTCATATATATATATATATACAGGGTGACAAAAAAGTCTGAAAACAGCTTGATATCTTTTTAACTAAATTCGTTATAAAATTCAAACCTTTCACATCAACTTATGTATGAAAACTACTTTTTGCAAGCATTACCAATTTTTGACCTTCACCAGGGGACGGCCCATGAGGAGCAGGTACATAATCTTTAATAGGTTGATATGCACGTCACTTAATAGGTCTGGTCAAGTAGAGTTCATTGCCGGAAACCGCGTCAAAAAGGTTCATCCATAAGTTGATGTGAAAAAGGTTTGAATTTTATAACGGACTTAGTTAAAAAGATATTAAGCTGTTACCAGACGTTTTTGTCACCATGTATACATTTATATATATGTGTGTCCGTTAGCACGATAACTCGAGCAAAAATGATCCGATTTTTATGAAATTTGGTATAAACCTGTAAACCTACATTTATTCGAACGAGATCGCGAACCAGCATGATCGGACAAGGGGAACGGGTGTTTATGAAGGGTTTTATGGGGTAAAAATAGGTTTTTTCCCATTTTTACCCAAAATACATAAAATTTAGCAATTTCTTTCCAAACCATTTTGTAGAGCTTAAAAAACAAATAATTTAGTATATTGAAGCGTTATTATGCGCCTAACGGTCAAGGAGAAAATTCCCAAAAATTGTAAATTTAAAATTCCTATGTTATTCTTATGGGGAATAAGCAAACAGTTTGCTTGTCTATGAACATATTTTGATCAAATTTGGAAAACATTTTTATTTCTTACTAACTATTAACAAAAAAAAATTTACCCTCCCTGATGCAGCAAACCAAAGTTTGCACTACTTGTTAAACTAATTCTATTTAAATAGGGAAATAGGGAATACATGTTATATTTTTAAGTAGACATTTTAGTGTAAATCCAATGTGGCAAATGGAAATTCGCTTAGTCTGTAGGTTTGCTGCGGTGGGGGTATTTTAATAATGCTCCTTATTTGATAATTTGCCGTTTCACTGAATTAGAGTCTACATATACGAGCTTTGCTCATTTTTTTCACTTAAAAGGGTACTCAGTTTAGTCCAAACTATATGTGTGTGTCCGTTAGCACGATAGGTAACATAAGTCAAAATCACCCGATTTTGATGAAATTTTGTACAAACTGCAAACCTATCTTTATTCAAAAGAGTTCACGAACCAGCATGATCAGAATATTGGGATGGAATCTAATGGGGGGTTTAAAGAGTCAAAATTATTTTCCCCATTTTTTACACTCAAAACGTTACATGCTACAATTTATTTTATTGAGCTTATAAGTAAAAATATTTTAGTATGAAGCGTTTTTTTTAATGTTAAATGGTCAGGGAGAAATTAAATAAAACTGTAAATTTATACAATTCCCATGTTATTCTTTTGGAGAATAAATTATCTACAGTCATTATATTTTTGAAGATTTTTTAAATTATGATGACTTGGATAAGGGATTTTGGAAGTTTAGCTGGAGGATTGAGTGATTGGTGGCTGGGCATGGCATTAATTGAGATCTTAACCAGGGAGACAACCCCTCCCCTACAACCTCCTTCCCATCAAAATATAACTGTCTGCTGCCCAATAAGGACACACACACTGCTGTCCTCGTCCTGACCTGACATCAACAAGTGGATGGTAGCCTTGTGCCTACGTGTACTATATTAGATTTATTTTATCTTAAGTTCAATACAAAAATAACACACACACACACACACACACACACATTATTACTTTCTATGTAGCAGCAAACCTAAGTACTTGTTTAACATAATGTTAAATAGGGAATAAATCTGACATAAAGAAAATATTTAACTGAGAATCCAATCAGGCTAAGGAAATTTGCTTAGTCTACAGGTTTGCGGACAAGGGTATTATTTGGTTAATACAAAGTTTAACTAATTGATAGAAAAAAAAAGTATTTACAACTGCAGTACCCTACTTAAAAATATTTAAATTATGTACAGGAGTTTAAATGATTTTGATGGCCCATACCAGTTTATCTGTATATCTGGGACTTAATTATGCTTATAAAATAGTTTGTTTTAAACTTATCTTTTACAGTAATATTAATTGAAACCCTTGAGACAGGCATGTTAGGGTATTTAAATGAATAACACAATGTCATTCCACTTTTTCCACAATATATGCTATGAGACCGTCTACAATGCATCATTGGTTAAAATGTTAAAATGAATGAAAACTGTAACAATATTAGTTTTATAAATATTTTATAATACGTATTTCTGTATCCCTCAATCATTTCCCTATCAGGAATCATCAGAAGTTTCCAATATCTCCCCCTGTGTGTCAACCGGGATTCAATTTATTTGTTTACTAACGGAAAACTCCATTTTACATATAAATGGAAAGGTGGCAGAATAAAGTAATCATTCTACATCTGACACTACATATTCAATCTAAACCATTGTATTTTTTCAAACTTGAATAATTAGGCCTAATATAGTTTGGTAAAAGCGAGAAGGTAGCCTAATACCTTTGACTATTAATACAACAATAGTATAGACAATAGATAGTGTAATATAGTATAATAGACTTCTGTATCCAATAGTCAATGCTAATGCATAAATTGGTTAAACAAATTTTGCTTGAAATCAATTTGATTTATACATTTTTATTCAGATGGTACCTTAATTCTGTGATGATTTATGCAGAGATATGGCTGGGGTAAAGGTCATATCAAACATTCTCCTAATCAGCTGTAATGATAACCCAAGCTGTACCACAGAATGTAGAAAGTGACCATAACAAGTTTCAAGAACAACTTTATTTGACCTTTAATTGGGAGATTGGAGATCGAATAAACCAAATGAAAAGGGATTTCAAAAAGCTGTTTAGTTGAATTTAATGCAGATATAATAATTTATGCAGATAAATATCAAATGAATAAGTTGCAGAAAAGTAGTTGTTAGTTTATCTGTAGATCGAGATCGCTAAATAAAAAAAAATCGAAGTATTTAGGCCTACTAGAACACAAAGAATAGTCTAGGGGTATTCTTGACCACCTTAAAAGCTCTATAGTGGCTAAGTTATTGACTTAAGAACCTCAACAGAAAATTGGGTGCTATCTGTTGGGATTTTTTAGTTTTATGATTGTTTTACATATAGAGTGTCCAAAAAGTTAGAGACAAGCAAAAAGTTTACTAAACATATGACATAATATATTATGTCCTATATCGTTTCCTTGTTTCTTTGGCATCTGTCTTAACTCGTTAACGGTTTGAGCTATAGCTGATTCTGCAAAAACCGATAATGTTACCAAAAAAAATACCAAAGGTCCAAGATACATGACATTTAGTTAATGTCATGTATATCAAAACGATATTTTCAAAAAACGGGTCGATTCCAAAAGAGGCTGGTTTTGGAACCATATACCACGTTTCAATGGAATATTTATGAATGACTAGCTGTAACCCGCGGGCTTTGCCCCGTTTAACTTCTTAATTTTCAAGATTATCTCGTTCGCATGGCTCAATCACGTCCTGGTTGAAGTTTGTTCGCTACGCTCACTCACCTTTAGGTTGGAGCTCGTTCGCTACGCTCACTCACCTTTAGGTTGGAGCTCGTTCGCTGCGCTCACTTGCCTTCAGGTTAGCTCGTACGCTACGCTAACTCGCCTCCAGGTTGAAGTTCGTTCGCTACGCTCACTCACCTTTTGGTTGCAAATTAGCTGTTGTCATAAATGTAAAAGCAATAATAGTGCTGCACCCTGTTGGTAATCCTTGTAACTTTAATGCTATTGAACATCAGAACAGAACCAACTTGTTTAATTGAAACAGCTGTTAAGATTCAATAATTCCATTTCTCATAAGGTTAACATGGGAAACTCCAGAGCCACTGGGGCGGAGCCCGAAAGGATTTTTGAAATAAGAATATGTCTATATGTTAATCGGGAATGTGAACTATCATCATGCCAAATTTCAGCCCAATCCGACCAGTATTTTTCGCGTTCACTTGTCACAAACATACATCCATACATCCATACATCCATACATCCAAACTTTCTCATTTATAATATTATTAGTAGGATGTTATCTAACAACTAGTCAATGTCATAGATGGCAAATATTCTGTACCCAGGTCTTGTCGTACTCTTACAAAAAAGTAAAAAAACTAAAAAATGGCAAGCATTGAGAAACAAAATAAATATAATTTTATTGCAATACCAACTTGTAAATATAGAGCAAACTTTTTTTACAACTGATTTAATAATTTCAATTAACAAGCGTAAACTATAGCCTAATGTTTCAGTAAAAAATCAAGAATAAAATATAGTTTTGTAACCCTTTTATCAATCACATACATAATCCTAAATCATCCCCTGAAACTGTTTGAACAGTAGCCTTCAATTTCACGAACTCACAATTTTCATTATCTCGAAGTTTTTATTACAACAAAATAAATGAAGGCCTGCTGAATCAAGTCTTCTTGTTCGTGTTCATTTCAAATATCTCATCTCATTCTAGTTTAGCAAGGATGGAAGACTCTCTGAAGAGTTGGTACTCGTTGTCATCTTCCAGTGTCACTCTGGTGCCCCCGTAGTCCGGCAGAAGCACCTTGTCTCCCACCTGTACACTCGGAGGTATAAGCTCTCCTTGGATGGTCCTAGCGCCAGGACCAACAGCCACCACCAGCCCATGGACGACCCTTCCTCTAGACTTTTCGGGAAGATAAATACCTCCCTCAGTTTTTGAACGAGCCACAGCCTTCTGGACCAAAACTCGGTCCATCAAAGGCAAAAAGTTCTTCAATGATGACCCTGACCCTGCCATGACAATTAATGAACTTGATGAAATTAGGCTATGTTTCTGAGTTTGTTTTCTACGTTTTTTGACAACACTAAAACCACACAAAATTCAAACACTCTTATTGTTGTTAGGAACGTTTGTTTTGATGAACATGTGTAAATAGTTAACTGTTGAAAACAATAGGTTGGAAATAAAAGATGTGCAGCATTGGTTATAGAATATGTCTGTTATATGATAATAATAGGCCTAGTGTTATAAAAAAATGTTTGAATAATGAATACACTCTTCTTCACGTTTTCTACTTGGTTGGCGTATGTCTGATTTTCAATTGATGAACGGCCAGTTGTGCTGTTCTTATAAATAAAATATTTGCCATTAATACCGATCAAGTGAGAGTGAGAATTTGAAATCCAATGTGAAATGGGATACAGTCCCGAATAGACTAGCCTAACCCGGAAAAGACAAATCGGAGGAATAGGGAATAATTTATTTTTAGGTGATAGCAAATATTTGATTATTTAGAATTTTAAGGGTCAAAACCTTTATCATAAAAATCGTTTACGATTAAGTTAGATGACAAATTAAATATACATGATACTTGTTGAGTTTTGGGTCAAATATTGGATGTTATTATTGTTTGTAAAGCATACTATTCAATTATTAGTATTTGACCTATACAAATTCTCATTGATGAAATTGAAATATTGACGGACAATCATAGGTACTATTAATAATCGTATAAATATAAACAATTAACAGTTAATTCACTATACTAAATTAACATAATGACAACCATGTAGGTCTGACGGTATCAAAACGTTGGTAAGTACTGTATTCTTGTTAGTTAGCGTCAGCTCAAGTGTTAGTTATTTTTTGGTTGTCCACTATTCATTATACGGAATATATTATTGTATCACTATGTATTTTACATTCAACTACAACAATGCAAAATATCAGCTGTTTAGCCAAGAACACTAAAAACAATATCCCCTACCCCAACATCGTTTGAAGCAATCATTCGTTGTTGAGTGAAACAATGGACCAATTAATTATCACAGAGGTTAAAAATACTTCACTCATGGCTGCTAGTGCGCCTGCCTCTGCCACATACTGAACCAGCTGTTCTGTTGGCAGCCATTAAAGTTTATCACGTTGACAACTCTTTGATAAGAATGACCTTCCTTATCCAAATAAAGTCATGTGAAGGACCGCCTTATCAAATCTGGTGCTGATCGGTTACTCTTGCAGTTGGTAACAATTTATTTATTTCCTTTGGTTTGGATAAAACATGGAAGTGAAAAACAATTTGGAGGAATTATTAAAAAAGGCTGTCGATTTTTTCCGTTCAGAGTTTGGTTTAATTCCCAAGTTCGCTGGTTATGGTCCCGGCCGGGTGAATTTGATAGGAGAGCACACAGATTATAATGATGGATTTGTTTTGCCAATTGTAAGTACTTTTTGTGGTTTATGTTTATTATAGATAAACTGTGCACAATAAGCAATTTTTGAGGAGTAACCAAATTTCCCTGATATTTCTACACAGTAAAACAATATAAAACACATGTTTACATGTGAAACATGTGTTTTTTAGTTAAATTATGATTGTTGTAACTTAGTTGTTGCCAGGTTGGATAAACAGCTGTATATTTTTAGCAACTCAGAAAGTTCTAAAATAAAAACAAAAAAAAGGGGGAAATGTTCTAGCTATTTTACTTTTAATTTGATTACTTTATGCTTATCATGCAGGAATAGATACTAGCCTATAGAAATTAATTGTAAATTTTAAACCTCAAACAGAATTAATATCAAACACATTAAAGTTTTATTTTAAGGTAGTTTTATCAAGTACCGGTACCGTATTTTATAGTTTTAGAGAATAACAACTTCAAACTCTCGTTTTTTTTGAGGTATTGGAAACATAAAGGTACCCTCACCATTTAATTAATTAATTGTTTTAACAGAGAAAAAAATGACCATGCTTTAATAAACAGTCTTTCTAGTAGGCCTTTTATTGACAGTATATTTTTACTGAACAACTAACCAGGAGTGGCAATTTGGTGTCTCCGCCCAGACTGATTTTGACTAAGAAAAAATATTACTAGAATCTTTATATAATTTACTACCATTTTGATTACTGGTATTTTGATTTGACAAACGATGAAATTTTGTAAAACGATGAATAGGAATGAACCCATAAGTTACACACTTACCAGTTAAAGATGGCACATTTTTAAATACATTACTGTTTTTTATCAGTTCGCTTACTTATATAAGTCAAATTTATTGAGTTTTATGGCAAGCTAATAGCATGAATTTAATCATGCTATTAGCTTTGCCATAAAACTAAAAACTATTTGACATTTTTCTATCAATTTTCTAATCCTGCCTTTGAAGTCTTCTGGTTGCTCATCAGAAAGCTAAAATGCAGTACGCTTACTTACAAGTTTTATTGCCTAAAGCATTTAAGTTTATAAACATATGTTTTCAGGCCCTGAATCTCGCAACGCTTGTGGTGGGAAGTGCCAACAACTCCGATAAATGCAGGGTAAGAACTTGTCTCCAGCTGGAAGAAGAAGCTTCTGCGGAATTCATGATACCTTCTAAACAAAAACTAACTCCTGGCAACCCACAGTGGGCTAACTACATTAAAGGAGTTGTAGCGAATTTCAAAGGTAAACCGAGTTTAGTAATACTCTCATTAATGTGGCTGGAAGATTTTATAATATTATTCATTAAGCGTGTGGACAAGATAAAATTATGTCTTCCCATTGAACCCTTGTGACCCCAAGCTCAAATAATGGGCGCTAAGCTAAGTCTTGATTCTAGAGTGACTACTAAGCTGAACAGTGATAAAATATCCCTAGAAACACAGAGAGGAGGGGAACAAAGGAAACAACAAACTACATTGTTTTGGTTGACAAGTCTACCTGTTGAATCTTGATGAGATGGCAACAGGAGCATTGCCACTTGATCTTTCTATACATATATAACCAGTAGTAGGTCCTAGCACTGCCCAGCGCATCAACTATTGTAACTATCTTAGGACTGTCTACAGGACCTAAAAAATATTCTTTAATCAATTTTCTTTTTATCTTTACTTATCATGATGAATCCTAAAAATAACTTCCCAAAACTACCCTAATCTCTTAACAAAATTAATCTTCAATACCATAAACATTATGGTTATCTCATACCCAATGCAAATCTAAACAATGTGATTTCTGCAGGCTCTCTTGTTCGATTTAGTACAGAACAAACACCCTGATTCTAAAAACATTTCACGTTTTCATAAGCTTTAGAGGGGTATCAATGCAGCTCATGAATAGATTTATTTTAGTTTTGGTTTAATCAGGATAATATGTGTGGCAGGAGAAGTACAAGGGTTCGATGCTGTAGTGGTGACAAGTGTCCCTCTCGGAGGAGGACTATCTAGCAGTGCATCCCTGGAGGTTGCCACTTATACCTTCCTTGAGGGTCTGTTTGGAAAAACCACCAGGTATAGTCGAGAGGTATCAAAGATATTTCTTACGGTAGTAATCACAATAATTTAGTATTACCATAGACAAAAAGAATTAAATATAGACTGTCAGCCGTGCTGCGGTTACCATAGGTTCCGGCGCACACCGCTGTAGTTTACGTAGCGCGTACGCCGTAACTACATGGCGCATCAAGCGGTGTGCGCCAGAACCTATGGTAACCGCAGCACAGCTGACGGTCTATATTTAATTCTTTTTGTCTATGGTATTACTAGGTATGCGGCCTCAGGTATGCCAGTTGATGAAAACTAATAATATTATGTCTAAATACGATAAAAAATATATATATCATAGTATATGATATTTTCATATATGGCGACACCTTACAGGATGCCATATTGTATGTCATGTTCTATGAAGTTTTAGTGATGAATTATTGTTTTTAAGCAAAAGATATATGTATGTTCAGAACATATTCAGATATCAGACAATTTTCAGCCCAACAGACAAAGCCTTGGCCTGCCAGAGAGCTGAACATGAGTTTGCCAACACGCCATGCGGGATCATGGACCAATTCATCTCAGTCTTGGGAGAGAGGAACAGCGCACTTCTGATTGACTGTTTGTGAGTAAACATAGCCTTGTGATATCAGCTGCTATGATAATACAGAGGAACCTCGATCAAGTTGTATTTAATCATCCCAATGAGAGACTTGTCGAAGTTCTAATGTTGTTTCGTTGAGGATGCAGTCCCAAGATTGATATTACATATTTATCAACAACTTTAGATGATTAGTGCCCTTGAGGTCACAACTCACAACGGGTTTGTGAGAGTCGTGTCACTTAAAAACCTATTTTATTTATCACATGGCTTTCTTCCATGGTGTTCTCCAATTCGGTAAAGGTTATTCTCGTCTGGGGCACATCCTTTATTATTCTCTAGAGGAGCTCTGGACCACCCGGTACTATCATGGTTAACGCTATCACAAGGACAGTCATAGTACATTAAAATTGCAAACTATTGGCTATAGCTAGTCAATGCTAGTACTGATGTTTTTATACGTTGCTAGGACTACTGCCATATACTGCTAGTAGTAGTAGTAGATATATCCAAGTTTGCAGCTTGAAAGACCTGTGCTGAAAGCGTAGCACTCCAAAACCGCGTTTTTGCACTATGTGGAAAAATATGAGTTATGCATAAAACATGTTAGTTACCTACTTTTAGCGAATTTCCTATATAGGGAATAAGCTATTGCCGTAGGTCTCATAGACCTTGACCCGGGACCGATTTACTTTTTCGTTTTGAATGGCTTCTCCAGCAATTTATGATGATTAATGATCCGTTAAAGAAAAATATGCTTCCAAAACATGATATTTAACAAAGGCCCTAAGTCATGATAGCTAAACTTTTTTTCAATTTTCATAACAGTTAGTTACTAGATGGATTTTTTTCTTACAGATACATCTAAAATATATTTAATTTATTTGATTCTCTCAATTCCCATACTGAAACCGAAGTCTCTCTATGGTCCCCATTTCTGAAGGGAGATGGTTACAGTTGGAGTGTTATTCCAGGCCTGTTGAAAATTAATTGTACATTTTGACCCTCTTAACCTCCAAACTTAAACCTAACTCTCTCTACATTTCCCATTTACTTTCAAACGCAACTTTTCCATATTTCTTCCCAAATCAATTATCAACATGCATGACAGAAGCTCTGTGGCAACATCATTGCTCCATCAAGTGGTTATAACCTTTTCCTTCCACAGGGAATTGACCAGTAAGCTGATCCCCATGCATATGACGGACCATGTCATTGTCATCACCAACTCCAATGTGAAACACAGTCTCGGCTCCGGTGAGTACGGTGTGAGAAGGAGCCAATGTGAGGAAGCGGCAAAGAAGCTTGGAGTGAAGAGTTTACGCTACGCCACTTTGGACATGCTGCTTGGTTAGTAGCTGATACTGTACATATTATATTGATGTTAGGCTTTCAGAGGTAAGGTACAGAGGACAGACGTTTATGGGATGACCGTGCGCTTTCAGCTCTGGTATGTCGAGCTGGAAATATACTTGTGATGGGCAAGGAAGAGTCCAAACGGCGAGAACTTTGCTGAAATTCCGATCGACAGGGCACACAGTCATCCTCCACTGTGAGCGTTGTAGTACATAAGGCATGAGGGCAAGGTGGTGGTGTCGGACTTTGCCCTAGACACCAGTATTAGTGCTAGACACCACTTAAGTGTAACATTGAATGTGTTTCTCTGTACCTTACTTCTCTGTGGCTTAACAGTTACAACCCCAAGCAATCAACTTGATTTTGCTGATTAAAATAAATCTTAGAAGAGAGTTTCAACAGAAAAGAGTTGTTTGGTAGTCTTACCACTTGTTTCTGCCAGGCAGCCAAGAGGACGGAGTTGCCTGATGTGATTTTCCGCAGGGCAAGACACGTCGTCACGGAGATTGAGAGAACCAAAGCTGCAGCCGAGGCACTGCCAGCCGGGGACTTGATCAAGTTCGGACAACTCATGTACCAGAGCCACGAGTCATTGAGGTTAGAAAATATTGAAATCCATTAATAAAAATATATTTGGACATGCCCTTTCAACTGTGCTAAGCTATTCATGGTTAAAAACCAACCCTTTTTGCTCTTAAATACAATTTAAAAATTTATTTACCTTTACCATCTTGCAAATATTTACATTATAAGCTTAGACATTTTGAGGTGTGTATGAGGGTGTATTTTATATATTCATGAATTCATGTGAGTGTAAATTCAATACTTTTGAAATTGACCATTTCAAAAATATTTGTTAGCAATTAATTATTACCCATAGTTAAAATTTCCCTGTTTCAGCAATAGAAACACATTATTGTGTGTTTATTGTGTTTAAACACTATTTGATTTTACATATCAGTAATTTTTAAGACTATCGTCAAGAAACAAGTTAAAATATATTTTATTTTTTATTGAAATTTGTACTGGTAACCTATTCTCTATTAAACACAAATAATGAACAAAAATTGTTCTGAAATTTGGATACTTCTTTGCAGGTTTAGCTATTAATAACATTATTATATCTTTTAATTAGAATATATATTTCTTTGTGTGAAGCTAGGGTTTTTACAATACTATTAGTTACTCCAAAGAGAAGTAAACTGCAGAGGAAACAAGTTTATGTAGAAGAAGACCGTGCGCTTTCAGCTCTGGTATGTTAAGTCGGAAATATACTTGTTACAAGCAAGGAAGAACCTGAATGGCGATCCATTATGTGGAAATTACTATCGATCAGGACACAGGGTCTTCCTCCATCGTGAGCGTTGTAGTACATGAGGCCAAGGGGCAGTGTTGGACTTTGCCCTAGACACGACTTAAGTTTGAATGTTTCCTCTTAAATTAATTTCTCTATGGTTACTCTACCTACTGATGTTTTGTGTAGACATGACTACGCAGTGTCGTGTCCAGAACTGGACGAGTTGGTGGCTGCGGCAAGAGAAGTGGAGGGAGTTTTAGGCTCTAGGATGACAGGAGGAGGATTCGGAGGTTGCACAGTCACTTTAGTAAGTGTACATAATACAGTCTACTCTTGGTAATTAAAATATTTGATAAATCAAAACAATCGATAATTCAAAGTAAAAGCTCGGTCCTTAGAGAATTCTCTTGTATTTCAAAGTTTCACCATACATTTTGATACACTCGGTATTTAAAAAGTTCAAGCAGAGGGCAGGAATGTTCCTTGGACTGACTGTAGCACGCAAAGTAGCTAATTGCTGCATTTACTTACTATTGCCCCACTCCAGGATTACAACCAAACTGCATGCTTTTATTAGGCACGTAATACATGTACGCTTGAAAATAAGTTGGCAACACTTAAAGATACTATGACCACGATAAACTGGTGCAGCGGTGAATCTCATTTTGTTCAACGCTAGGATTTAACCTAACCTAAAAACTTGTGTATAGTGTTTGAAAGTTCGCACACTAGTTACACAAACTATAGCATAGCAAACATTATTTTTGTGTAGTAAACAGTGTCATGATGAATTGCTGCAGGTGATAAATAAATAACAGGTTATTTCATAGTAGTGTAGCGAAAATAAGTATTTTCATTAATTTAGTTCATTAAACCTATGTTGTACTGGAGTTAACAACAAAAATGTTTAAGACTTTTTGTGGCTTTGATCTTTATCGAGGTTCCTCTGTTTTACTCTTAAAAAAGTACAGAATACAACCCATTTTGTAACAAAATGCTAATGAAAAATTACTTTAGTTTTGTCTTATTTCCAATCTCTCTTTCAGGTTCACAAGGATGCTTTAGAATCTCTTAAGGCCAACATTGAGACTAAGTACAGCAGCACTCCTACTTTCTACACGGCCGTTCCATCTCACGGCGCCAGACTTGTGGACCTAGGCTTGTAGATCTTGCCTCACTTGATATCATTTCAGAAATTCTATTTTGATATTCGACAACCTTATCAAGAATTTGTTTTTTACGTTTTATAATACTGTTTAAGGAACCGCATTTGGTGGGTTAACAAAATAAGCAGTAGACAGTTTCAGAATAAAAATATGATTGCCTTATTTTTTAGAAAAAATAAACATGATAGGAAAAATATTTTTTTTATTTATGCTTAGGATCAACTCTTCTATTTTTGTTGCAACCAAAGATGTAATACATAGATTTGTTTATGATAGTTGAGATTTTGTAACTTTTGTTTAGTAAATAAAAAATACTTTGTTACAGGTTGTTCCATTTGTTTCTTCCTGCAGACTTAGCGAACTTTAAGTACAATTGAAAATCTTTTTGTTCTAAAAAATTGCTTTAAAATAATTTATTTGATTAAACATATAATATAATTGTACATTTTATCGCAATATTTTTATGATAGGTACATGAAAACTAAAAACGTAATAGTATATTACATTACTAGTCCTAAAAAATAGGTGTTTAACGGACAAGTGTGGTCGTTCCCGTGCGAGACAAAGTCGAGTGTGTGATTACCGTACGAGTCCGCTAAACACATTTTGGATGAGTGAGGTACGATAACAATCACTGAGATAACCTCATCTAAGAGAGGTTATGTTTTTGTTTATAACCACTCATCACCAAATACAGTATAATCAGCTGGTTAGAGTCCGGTAAAACTCAATGAAACCCCATTTGATTAAGCTGGCGGCAAACAGCTGTTTTCTGGACTATATCCTTGCGTGGGAAGTTCGACAAAATAGTGTGATGTGGCGTAAAATGGGTTTTTAAATTAAAAATGTGAAATATATGTTGGGCAATGAAAAAAATTTAATCAAATAAAAAACTTCTTCTTACAACGTTTGAACAAGAAGCATAAGCACAAAGAAGTAAGGTACAGAGGAAACTTGCTGTTGGGAAGACCGTGCGCTTTCAGCTATAGTATGTTGTGCTGGAAACATACTTGTGATGAGCAAGGAGGAGCTCGATCGGTGAGCATTGTGCAGAAATTACTATGGTAGAAGGTCTTCCTCCTCTGTGAGCGTACTACAGTACATACAGTACATGCGTGTGTACTACAATACATAAGGGGTGAAAAGTGTTAGACTTTGCCCTAGACACTACTTAAGTGTACCATTGAATGTTTCCTCTGTACCTTACTTCTTTGTGGCATCGGTAAAAACTTCAACGTTACTTATGATGTGTTCAATCAGGTAATAAATGGTAGTCACACTGCATTCCCATGTCCTTTAATGTTTATCAGTCCTTTCATTAGTCACCATGCAATAATTTTTTTGCAATCTGAATGTAAACTGTATATCGTTTGCATTGTATTCAAACTTAGCGTTGTACGAATAAAAGTCTTTGTCTGCATGTACAGGGACTTGCGGCATGAAGTAGACACCTTGACGGGTGTACGGGTCCCACTGGACAGGTGACCCGGGCACTACAGGTTGCTGTGGACCCGTCGATACTACAGTGTCCTGATCAAGGTGGAAATCTACCCACAGAGCCATGGCGTTCCAACAGCCAGAACTGAAAAAGTGAATCCAGTGGAAACGTACAAGTCAACAAACCTTCAATTGAGAAAAAAGTGAACAATTTTAGGAAAGGAATAAAGAACTTCGGAAATTAACTATAGGTCAACAGAGAATATTTTTTATTGTATTATACAGGTTGTTACTGAGGTATTAGGAAGGAAAAATACGATAAAATAGTAATAATGTGGTAATGTGTGTGTTAATGTGCCTTACACAGGCAATAACAATATACAATCATACGTTTAGTTGCAAAAACCTCTAATTAATTCTTAGAATCTCCTGGTTTCCCAATTTATTGGGAAATGTGGTGTCAGTTTAGTTTGTAGCCCCACTCATCTCTTGGTCCAAAGTTTAGGTCAATCAACAAATTATAGCACTTTTTTGTCCTTAAGATGCTAGGCACGAGCCTGGGGGATTGTTTTTCACATTACTCCAGTCTAGGCCTAGGGGTTGCGACATTATCACTTAGATAAAATCCATTGGTGATGTGGCGGGATTTGAACCCGGGACCTCAGGGACTGAAGACCCGCGCTCTAACCACTAGACCAGCTCGCTAAGGTCATATCAAAGAATTTCTATATGTTTGAATTTTTATGAACACATTCCTATGTTCTGGGGAAAACCCTAAACAAAAAAAAATACAAAGAATAATACAGTACAAATTGGTTAACTATTTTATGAACTTACACAATGAAATTTGTATTTCCCATGGAGAAAAAAGGCTGTCTCTTTTCAAATGTAGAAATTTTACTCGGTTTGCCCAAGCTAACCCCAGGATACTCCCACAAAGGGTGCACTTCAATGCTGCTGTCGCTAACTGCACTGGAATTCTGTAAAAACACAAAGATTTATTAGCAACAGCGACCCTTCACAAACATTTAGAATATTAACACTACAAACTAAGTCCAAATGGTGACCGACAGAAACCGGATGTTTTTAAACAGATTGCAAACACTTCAGTTATTGTAGCTAGGGGGGTGGGGTGTCTTTCATTGCTGTAAATTATGCTATTTTAGTAGCCCTCTATCATGACAGTGCAGCGTTTTTTTTTTAGTTCACTTTCATCTTGCGCCATGACATCCTTTCCAACCAAAATACAATTCTCAGGTGGATTAAAAATTGTATTTTTGAGACAACAAGATCTATCTCAAAAAAGAAGCCGCTAGCGCCAAAAAAGGTTAAGACGTTACAGAATGTTGAAATGGTTAGGCGAGCTTTGATTCGTGAATGTTTATATGTTCAATAAATTTTTGAGACTATAGAATACAGGGGCTGCTCTCGTCTTTGATGTAGCACTTACAGTAGACTCCCTCTTATCCGGACATCGTTTTAACCGGACTACACTCGGCGGAAATTACATCTCTTTAACCAGAAAATTTTTATCAGTACATTGGTTTGGCCGGACTAGATTGGCAGGAAAAGGGTAGTACAGTACTGAAACGTCTGTTCTCGTGGAAAAGATTTGGGACCAGTGATCACGTGTCTTAATACAACGCTCTCCTAAATTTAAGTTGAATATCACAGTAAACAGTCCGTTTTAAAGAGTTTTTGGGGACGTCGGTTAAACCGGAAAACAAGGACAAAAATGGGGGAGGAGCTTACAGCAGCACTGTCCTGTGTGAGGTAGGAGCTTGTCTATTTTCATGTTTGTCAACAACATAGGTTGAATGATTAAACTTCATCTTCTGAAAGTAATTTTAAGTTTAATTATTTACATTGTTAATTTTGGGTTTTGACTTTTTTCACCTGAAAATTTCATTTGTAAGTCTCCCGTTTATTTCTTTGTTAAAGATAAATATTAATCATGAGCTGTGTGACTCGCCACTTTGGGATGAATAATAAACAACTTGTTGGTTTTATTGAGAATTTTCAGACTAATTATTGAAGTAGAACTATTAATAAACATTTTTCTCACTCAAAGTTTATTCCTATCCCAAAAAGTAAAAAAAATCCTCGCTTAGTGACTTTTTAAAGTTAATTAAGTACACAAATCCAGTTGGCAGGCAGGCAGGTTACTTGCTTCTAGTGCATTTCAAGTTATATACAGCAGGTGAGGATTTAGTAACGATACTCATGATGGTCTTCGTAAACCTTATCATTTTTTCGCTTAAAAAATTATTATTGGTCATAACTACAATATTTTTTGACCATCAGACTCGGTAGTTATAGTCAATGCAGATTACAACGTATAAGTTTCATACGGATAATTGAATTGTGTTAATGTAGGGAAGCGTGTAAATGAGCGGTGTGTATATGGGCCACGCGTTAGCTAGACCTGTGGACTCCGTGCGGTGACGTCACAGCCACACGGCAGTGGAACCACTATGCTCGTCGACAGGAGCCAGCCCCTGTCCTGTATTCTATAGTCCCGTTTTTGAGGTCACAGGCGAGACAGTAATGTTTAATAAACAATTAATGAGGATGTGGTGACAGTTAATGAGTGTGAAATAATGGGACATGTAATGAAAAAATTTAAGAAAGGGATTGAAACCTGATTGAATGAAAGTGGACACCACAAACTTGCATTGTTTTATATAGGTAAAGGACATCTGAAAAGTGGAGCCAACTGTGTTTAGTAATAGTTTATTTCTTAAATGGCAATAGTTTACAAACATTTTAATGTAATAAAAGATGTTCTGCCATAAATTATTCAGTACTTCACTATTCAACACTGTAAAATTCTACATACAGTAGACTCCCTCTAGTTCGGCCACCTCGGGACCGGACCACTGGCCGTACTACGAAACGGCCGGACTAACCGGATGTAGAGCATTTTGCATAATAAAAATACAAATAATAGTATTGCGCAATCGTGATATGTTAAGTCATTAACCATGGTTTAGTAATAAAAACTGTAACGTTTAAAATAACGCTTACTCAAGCAAAACAAAAGTTACACAACACTGTACGTACAGCAATAAATAACGTAAAGAACAGAACAATAGAAAGTCTAGTATTGCAAGCTACTGCTACCGTAGTCAGCATAGAATACTACTACAGTACATGTTGTTTCAGAACATAAGAATGTCGATAAAAACATTAGATAACTCATAAAACAGCATAAAATCAAAGTAATTAGTCTTAAAGATATAATAACGACAGTCGTAAAATAGGATAAAGATAACAATGGATGACGTGAAACTGAAACACCGCTTATTCTTTCTTCTCTGTTCTTGTATTCTTTCTTTGGTTTCTCTTCAGCCACACATTCAATAAGTCGTTATGGTTACTAATCACCCAATCACAAACTGTTGTGAGATATCAAGCGCACAGCAGACATCAGTTGTGTAAAGAGCAGATGATTGTCAGTTGTCAGTGCAAGCGGATAGCTTGACCTTGAAGCTAAACGATGGTTATTTTTTTGTTTTGATTCATATATTTTTGTCAAATAAACCGAGGTGTTTCAAAAACAATAATGGGGGAATCTACCACATAAAAAATGGTCCGAAATATTTAATCATACACTGCATTTCAACATATTCGACTGAAGAAAAACTATAAAATGTTCTTGGGATTTTTGAGGTTATGTAGGCCTAACATAGTTTACCATGGGTAATATGCAACAATTCATCCATATACGCACCTATCAACCAAATTGACATGAACTGTTTACTTCTATGGCCGGAAACTAAACATTCAAGTTGAATCCTGTCGAAGGTCATTCGCCCGTAATGATATGACTTGTCCCCCTGAGACCGGGCCGGACCATCCGGCGGCCGATCCAACCGAAGCCGAACTAGAGGGAGTCTACTGTAACTTCAAATAGGTGTGTAATGTAAAAAATTCAAATTTGGTGAATAACTACATGCATACTTTTGCAGTTCAGTACACAATTTACTTGTTTCATTATTGTTAATGTAAATGAAAGTGCCAACATTTTAAATTTGGAAACTTTTGAATCTTGAAACTTGCCGATCGAATCTTGAAACCAAAACTTTTCCAAAGTTTTGAGATCTGAGATTCGGTTTTGACACATCACTAATAGTTTCCATAACAATAGATTGACTTTACTCTCGGATAAACTATTTACCTGGATAAGCTCGTCAAAAGCAGCCATCTTGAAGCCACTGATGGTACCCAGTGGCGCTCGTATCTTGTGCAGGTGGTCAAACTGCATAGGCATGGCATATAGGGTCGCTGACACAGGCATGCTAACTGCCGCGGGACACTGTGACTTCAACCACCACCAGTTGTGCAAGTGCCATGGGAAAATTGCATTGGAGGAGTACGGTTCTCCTACAACCAGATTCACTGATTCTGCAATCTAAATGTTTCAAATTAGATTGAATTATAAATTCAAACCTGAAACTAAATAATCTGAGTCCAATTAAGTTATTTAAAAAAATATTCAAATCAAATCGCTTGTAACCCTTTGATCCCTTAGGATTTTTCATTGGTTTGAATGCGAATTCATCACAAACAAAAAAATAAAAACCACCAACAATCAAAACATACTATTTGAAGAGTAAATTACAAAGAAACCACCTATCTTGTCATCGTCCACCTGAGCTATCAAGTTTATTTCAGGTGAACCCCTCCTTCGATCTCGCCATAATCATGAACGTTTCATGTGGCCGCGGAGGAATAGTGAATATCTTGCGTAAGTGCGGAGGCATAATCTTCGTCACCTTTATGACGAAATCGTAAAGATTTTCCGAGTTTGCAGGGACATGATCTTCGACTCCCACAGTCACGATAAAATTTGGGACATCTTCCGTGATCGTGGATGAAAAGCAACAATTCCTACATAACGGCAAAATAGCGAAATTCTTTTGCGGACGTGCAAATTTCTTGAACGTTTCCTGTGATCGAGGAGAAACACATTATCGGTGAAATACATTTATCAAGTAAAACAATTTGAGGCCCCCTCCTAGGCCAAGGCAAGGATTAGCATAGTTTGATGCAGCAACCCAATATCCTCCTGAAAATTTTCCATGAGAAATAACATCACTCTGCAAATTAACATTCTGCATGCATTTGGTAGAAAAAAGGAAAGTAAAATGAAAGACCAAAATGATCAAATTTGAGAATATGAAATATCAACACATAGGATTTTAATTTTTCTACTTTTTTAAGTTCTTGGGAGGTTTACCTTCGTATTCACCTTTATGAGCTTTAGAACTAATCTCTTAGCTATGCAAAACAAACCTAAGCCTGGAAAGTACACAGATGAACTATAACGAATCAGTACGGGTAAAGCCTGTGGCAGCGTTAATGATTTTGAAAATAACTATAAGTCAGATAGGTGAACCCCTAACAAGTCACACACCAGACTTCACTTAGGCGGTATTTGAACCCTTGATCCAGCCGGAAGACTTACAAGCTTAGATTGCTCAACCGATCAGCCTCAACTTCTGTTAAACTCCAATACAAGCATAGTATTTATTTATAAACTTAGTAACAGGCTTCAACACAGGTACAACTTTCAGCAGTTTTAGTTCTGTTAAGCCGCGTTCACACAAATCCAGTTGGCAGGCAGGTTACTTGCTTCTAGTGTATTTCAAGTTGAATACGGCAGGTGAGGATTTTGGTAACGATACTCATGATGGTTTTTGGAATTCAAAGGGTTACTTCATATGATGTAATTTATTTTTAAATTAGGGACAGCGCGAACACATCCCTTGAGTAGAGCTTGTTGATTTGAACCACAAACCATGGATAACAAATAAAAATCTTTTTGTAGTTTGTGCAATTTGCCCAATTTGAGGTGATATCAGAGAGTATTGGTTTGGAAAACAAAGCATGAATAGGGAAGAGCACATAGAATACTTTAACGGAAGGGATTGGCGTAAATTAGCAAACTTTATGAGAGAGTCGTGGACAAGATTGTGGGAATTAATTAGAAAATTTAATTACGAATAAATCAAGTGAAAGAATGATTTTTTTCCTTTCAAAATTCAAAATGGTTTCCTTCTCTTTCAAAATTGAAAACAATTATTATGTCATCAAAAACTTGCCATCCTGTCTTCTACATTGAATATTCATAGTAATTTTCATGGATTTTATCCATGCAAATATCTATAAAACCTAATAGTTTTGAAAAGTATTAGATAAATAAAATAAAATTTATGTAAACCATTATGAAATAGTTTATTTTAGTTTTGTATAACATCAATGTAGTTGGACATTTTGTTTGTGTATGCTAGGAATTAAGTGTATTTTGTTTTAATTTTATTTTTAGAAATGTGTTTTATGTTTTAACATTCAGGTGTGCCAACTGCCAACCAAACAGTGGGTTGTAGACCATTGTTTAATTGCTTATGCTATGAGGAATGTTTATTTATAAAATAAAGCACTTTCTTCATTCATATAATGTAAATTTTACTTTCTTGATCAAATTCATACCAACCTTTTCATCAAGAGTCCAAAGGCCAGTCCAAGGGTTATCGGATCCATATTTTATGAGGGTTACTTTAGAACCGAGATTATTGTCCTCGATCAATTCCTTCATTACTTTGTAAGATTGTGAGTGTGAGTCCTTTTCAAGATGATACACCTGAAAATTAAACCATACAATGCAATAAGAAATACCGGTAATCTATAACCACACACTCATATTAATAGCACTCTTATTAAGAATCAAAATATTATGTCTACCAATATTATATTCTTACATTACCTTAAGTTAGTATAAATACCATACAGCTGCATATTTATATTATACAGCCAAATGAAATTGCTTTAGTTCATCAAATTGACTTCACACTCTTATTTTACTCTCTAATTATTATGATTTTTTTCAAAGATCTAAATCAACCATGTAATAGTTTTTAATATGACTTATTAAACATGTTTGTCGACAGTTTTTAAATGTCACACATTATTTAGGAAGGAATTGTATGAATGGGTTTTAGTAATCTACAAAAATCCTTCTATCCTATATTCCACTTAATTTTGTTTCAAAATCGGGCCAACTACCCACACCACAAAGGACAATTTATGTTGCATAGTTTTCCAATAGATTTAATTTTTCCCATGCTTATGGTTCATTCGGGTTTCTAATTGTAATACCTAATTTTACAATTTTACAATTACATTAGACTCCTTCTTATCTGGTCACCTTTTATCAACTAATCGGTTTAACCAAACTGGTTCGGCAGGAAGCGAGCAGTACTAAACGACTTTTCTCAATGGAAATATTTGAGACCAGTGGTCACGGGTCTAGATACAATGCTCTCCGAAATTTAAGTAAAATATCTGGGTTGGTTTTCGAGTGATTTAGGGGATGACGGTTAACTGGAAACACTATATACTAAACTGGCCTTGGTTCCGAGGAGTGTGGATACCTCCCTCCTATCTAGTGTAAATACTTTATTAAATAGTTTTTACCCAACAGTTTGTTTATAAGACTCACATGTTTTGCACCCAGACAAGCAGCTTGAAGACCAAGCAATGAAGTGTCTCCAATGGAAAGCACAACACTGTCTGGGGTCACCAGTTTCTGCAGCACACTGAAGTACTTCTGTCGTCTGCTGGGGTCGTTGAGCATGCCGATGCGCGTGCGCGAACATGTCACATGCATCATACACTCACAAATAGGCTTCTTGGTCTCTTCAGAAGTTGTGCTAGATGAAAATGTATACTGGAAATGTTTCACCAGACTATCTTTCATTGAAGAGCTGAAACTATTGACAATTGCATTAAGGTTATGAAGTGTAGGAAGGAAACATTCTTTTTAAAAATTTTCCCATCTGCTGATATAATAATATGATATTATAAAATAAAAATATACTGATCTCTGCTGGACGGTAGCCACAGTGACTGGCCCTGAGTCATAGTGACAGGGGAAGGAAGGTAGTACACAGCTACAACATTCCTAGTTACCTTCTGCTAGTAGCCAGGTTGAACCACAAGCTGTACTGATCTCTGCTAGACAGCAGCCACAGTGACTGGCCCTGAGTCACAGTGACAGGGGAGGGGAGGTAGTACACAGCTAAAATATTCCTAGTTACCTTCTACTAGTAGCCAGATTGAACCACAAGCTGTACTGGTCTCTACTGGACAGTAACCACAGTGACTGGCCCTGAGTCACAGTGACAGGGCTGGGGAGGTAGTACACAGCTACAACATTCCTAGTTACCTTCTGCTAGTAGCCAGGTTGAACCACAAGCTGTACTGGTCTCTGCTGGACAGTAGCCACAGTGACTGGCCCTGAGTCACAGTAACAGGGCTGGGGAGGTAGTAGACAGCTACAACATTCCTAGTTACCTTCTGCTAGTAGCCAGTTTGAACCACAAGCTGTACTGGTCTCTACTGGACAGTAGCCACAGTGACTGGCCCTGAGTCACAGTGACAGGGCTGGGGAGGTAGTAGACAGCTACAACATTCCTAGTTACCTTCTGCTAGTAGCCAGGTTGAACCACAAGCTGTACTGGTCTCTACTGGACAGTAGCCACAGTGACTGGCCCTGAGTCACAGTGACAGGGCTGGGGAGGTAGTAGACAGCTACAACATTCCTAGTTACCTTCTGCTAGTAGCCAGGTTGAACCACAAGCTGTACTGGTCTCTACTGGACAGTAGCCACAGTGACTGGCCCTGAGTCACAGTGACAGGGCTGGGGAGGTAGTAGACAGCTTGCATCCAGTGATCTCTCCATGGTATGGCATCATATCCAGATGGTTTCGAAGGGTGAGCCCACCATGGAGCACAACTCAGAACTACCTTGCCCTGCACACAATAGATAAAGTTAACAAAGCTACTTTCCATTGTTTAGTTACACCAATATTTTTAAGAGTCAAATATATGCACTCTAAATTATAAAACACTACAATATGAGCGAGAGCTATGGCATTTGTTTCCTTGCCTTTTTAAATTTTCAAATTCCAAAAACAATTAAAAAAAAAACAACTTAATGATTTCTACTGTTGGAAATATTGCTTACTGCTGTAATATCGCAGGACTCGTATTAGATGAAAAAGAATCATCACCAGACCTTCTATTGTGTTTACTGTGATTGATCTTATTTGTGTTACTGATTGAGATTGATTCATACCTGAGGATCCATGTTGAGCGACCACCACATGAACACCATGTGTGCCGTGCCCGACACGGCTGCCTTTGTCTCCACGGCTGTCTTGTCATTTAGTGGGATAGGAGGGCCTCGCCCGCTTGTGTGGTTGCGACCCGTAAAGTCAAACCTGCACATACATTGTGGACAATAAACAAAGTTGTATTGTGCATTACAATTCATACAGATTACAGGAGCAATTTTCAAGCTGGCACATAACTTATTCTACAGCAGAACTTCAACTATCTGAATTGACTGGGTCAAATAGTTAAAAATTCATATTAAGTTTTTTTAGTTTTATTGGATTTTCTAAAAAAGTAGGCACGATGCAGATGACACATGTCATGCTGATTGCCATAACACAGTGACATATAAAAATGTATTAACAGATTACCGATATCACAATTTGCTTAATCTGCCACAAATTTAATTTTCCTAGCCTATTTTTTCTCCTTGACGTGACCCAAATGGGGTCAGATAACTTTTTGAGTTCAACTGTATTTCTAGGATTTGTGATATAAATGATCCTACAAATTGTAAAGCATTAAAGTATATCGTAAAAACATTTTTTATTTTGAAATGAGCTTTTAGACTCATTTTCTCTGTTGGTTGGGATATAAAATTGGCTCATCGTTAAGTCTAGTAAAAATAGGCATAAAGTAGATGGCTGATGATTTGGAATCTCTTGTAAGGAGGTACAATTTAAAAGTTTTTTAATGATCTGAGCATTGATAATTTTTAAAATTTATTTTTTGTTTGGTTCTTGTTGTTTTTTCAGTCTTATAACTATGATTTGATTTAGTTATAAAGATCTAAAAATATATAAAGTTATAAACGAACAAATAATAATAATAATAATAATGAGTTTATTAAAATATAAAGAAATTGTAAAGTCAATCAAATGGAATGTTTGTAAATATGGTTGAAAAAAGGTAATGAGGTGGACTCCCAGCAAATAATTTTACCAAAAATGGATATCTTACACCTGGCCTCACAGATCCATGTTTCGATCCTCCCGTGAAGCCCAGTAACTGCTAGCGCATATACACTCCCTAAGCAACGAAGGCAACTTACCTAAATACAGGCTCGGGAGGTGAGATTGGTCGAAAGTCACTCTGGCGCACCTGACTGAGTTGCACGTCGTGCACGGCCGCTGCACCGGGACACTGCTGGATGGCCTGGGACGGCGCCACATCGCCCCATTGTGCCAGTTTGTTCCATCTCTGCATCCACTCACTCTCCACTACCTGGGCGAACACTGTGGCACTGCTAGGCACCACCAGGCAGTCTTTCTGATAACCAACATTAAAAACCTCAATTTTCCCAAAGCCATGTCTGTTTTCAACATTTGCAAAAGTATTCAGTTGTCATCGAGATTATTTACCCAGGCCTGGGAACGGGACGGGAATATCCTTCCCGTACAATAAGGAAAACTTTGGTTCCTTGAAAATCTTGAGTAAAAATTATTGCAAACAATGTCATTGACAAACAAAATCAATTTTTAGTTTTTATGGTTTTACATCATTGTGGCTGCAATCTGTGATTGGAGCACTGTTGTTATAAAATTTCGCAATCGCAGGAACATAATCATTGTCAACCACAATAATGGAAAAATCCTCAACCACGTTACAGAGACGTTCGCAGAGACATCATCATCGTTATCCGCTACAGCGACAAAGTCGTGACCATCTCCCACAAATGCGGAGATATCATAATATATTACGGTGTACTGACTAGACAAGAGATCCAGCTTATTCATTTGCCATCCTGTTAATTTAAAGCTGAGTTTTCAGGGACAGCTAAACTATTTTATACTTAAGAAATGTATACCTACGTTTAATCAAACCCTGATAAGTTTACTAAGTTTATCACAGATGTACCTCCAGTAAGTGTGTCAGTGCATGATTGAATGTTTCGACTGCCCCCTCACCGATGAGCTCGGTGTCAAAGACCTCCGTCACCAGGACATTACAGCGACGAGGTAGATCTCCTTTTTGTTCGTCTCTCACAGTCAAGTCTGTCGATCGCTTGTGTATCACTGTGATTCGGTCGGACAACCCGTTTTCCTCTATCACCCTTTCTGCGCACTTGGAAATCGGTTCAAATGCCTGAAAATTGTAGAACATAACTTATCTCTTTCCACCAACCCAAAGTAATACATTCAATCGTGAAACTGAAATAACATTTTATCATTGCTGAATGTTTGTTTTGAATAAAGACTGGCATCGAAATGATAGTTTAGGACAAAACTTCAAATATAAAACAAAAAATAAACCTCTCTGAACGTCGATAACATAAATAACATTTCAAACAGCTTTGACACTTTTATATGCAATAACTAAATCTTATCTACTTACCTAAAAAAAGAGCCTAGGGGTGTTAAAATTGACAACTTATTTATCATGCTGTACTATTACAGATACAACTGAATATTTATGTATAAGTCATTCAGTAATTGTATTTGTAAAAATTCTTTCCAACCAAAAATATCTCAAGTAAGAGATGAAAAACAAAAAGTTTAGCTTAGCCTAGGACTGACGATAACGTTCTGACTTAGAAGCCTAGGTCTCCACAATAATGGATCGTAAGGTAAGCCTTAGATTGTAACAATGTTCAATAACGATCCAGAAGCTATATCTCCAAATGACAACTTATCATAAAATATAACATGTTTATGAGACATCAACTATTACCGTAAAAACAGATTACAAGGAAAATGGATTAATAGTCTTTCACAATATGTAAGTGGCTCGTAGAGATAGGAAATACCGTACCGTTAGTTTGCAATAATAGTCAGGAACATTTCTTAACCCTCCGAGTGTTATTTGTCGCTGCAGCGACCCACAAACACTGTTTATGGCGAAGGCTCTATGACTGACAAAATCGGATTGAACTGGATCGAGTTAGGTATCGTTTTATTTTACAGATTCAGAGCTTTCTCCGGAGGTCTGTCTCTAAGCACTTTTCATTTTAGTTCCGAAAATATTGTAGCAGACAGCTGACGTGCGTATTTGTAAACAGCTTGGTTAACCTTGAACCGATGACTGATGTGTTTTATTACGTTTATCATTGTTTTAGTGTTAAAAATCAAAAGTAGTGATATACGTGGTGCATTATAAGAAGATTTAAGTGATTTTGAATGGCTGGTTGATGATCCTGAAGAAGTAGGTAGTGATATTGATGTAAATTATCAGCCAGATTCCTAGCTATGGTTAGGCTATGCATTCTTAGCTAAACACTATGTACTGAAATCTGTTTTTTGCCCATAACTTATTTATTTGCAAATCTACTTCCTTATATTACTATGTATTTGTAATCCTCATAAAATTTAGAACAAAGTGGCTATTTTCAAATATTTATAGGCCTATAATTTACACAATTTCATTGAGCGCAAACTTAATTTTTTTTACCTAAAATTTTTTTTTGAAACAAATGTTCCTTATGTTTTATGTATAATATTGAAGCCCATGATTTTCCAAACAAAATGGTATATAGAACAGTATAATTAACATTGTTTTCAAGCTTCTCAGATCCGTTTTAATGAAACCTTGCAAATGAGCAAAAAATAGGTAGACGTTAAGGCCAAAACAAGGGACACTCGGAGGGTTAAGTTATTGGTAATAGGGGAAATAATACTATTTACAGTAGACCCCCTCTTAACCGACCCTAATGGAACCGGACCTAGGTCGGATGATTCAAAAGGTCGGATAAAACGGGCAATCCCTAAAATCATAACATAATAAAGTGCTATTCATTTGGAATTATATAATCATTATTTTGAAGTCATACTTGCATTATTTATAAAATAAACTACTCTTATCTCCTTTTTCATATTGATAGAAATGTCACAAATAAACACAAAACACGGTTAAGTCAAATAGGCCTACTTTCAGTAGAATATATTATAATACTAGGCAAGAGTCAATAAAATTCCTATTTCAATAACTTTACTACTGTAATGTAATAATTAATGCTTTCCAAATACATCGTAATACAGTACAGAACCTTTTGTGGTCATTAAAGATACAAGCGACCATTTTGTTACAAGACAGGACGTTTATTTATAGCCTCTCACTGGAGGCTCGAGGCAAAAAAACTATCTTGACCTTGGAGTTGTTAACACCCCTTCCCTGCCCTCCCTACAAGTTGTGTTGTTTCTTTACTCCGGCGATAAGATAATCAGTAATCAGTTCTCAAAATCGTAACGCACTTTATGATGTTATAAATTTGCCGCACAGATAACAAATCAGATCAGATGTGCTCGAGCTACGTACGATGATGACAAACTGACAATAGGCTATGCTATATTTTTTGTGATCTTCACAAGATAACTTATTGTTAGTCATATCCTGTGGAGATAAGCGTATGGTTCAGTTCTCATTGCCCAGCGTGGGAGCGGAAATGCCGAGATTCCTAGAAAGCGGCGGTTAAACCGAGCTGCTCTCAAAGCAAGGTCGGTTAAAACAAACTGTATTATTTTACGATCAAAGGCGGATAATCCGATTATCGGTTAATACGAGGTCGGTTAAGAGGGGGTCTACTGTAATTTGTCACCGATTACATCCTCATCCAGTTCCAGCCAGTCGCTGTTCACAAGGAGAAAAAAATCTGCAGATGATGTTATAAAAATTTTCCATATTCTCAGTAATGTTTACCAAGGTACAGTATTATTTCATAATTTTAGCTGTTAATATTAAGACACGTTCAGCGTTATTTTACTAGCTCGTTCTAACAGTCCAGTCGACGTTACACAATGATATTCTCAGTAACCAAGATACGTTTAATTCATTATGCTAATGATAATAGGAAGAGAAATCAGCCAGATAGTATCGTTTGCTCTAGTTCAAAATAAGTTGCAAATATATGTATTCTCAGCTTATTACCAGAGGTTATGGGTGGCAAATCAGTAATAATATTCATCCTACATTAAATAAAACCCACCTTTGGTGGCTAATTCAAGTACGGTTTATTCTTTTTTAATAAAAAATATGCTATGCGTGGTTGTAGGTTTGTTACCTCGCAGGCGTGGATGGTGTCAGCACCACACCGAGCGGCCATCATGGCCAACAATCCAGTGCCAGTACCAATGTCCAGAACATGGGCCTCCTTGCCTTCCTTGTGTAACTGGTCTATTGCCATCTCGATGGCTTGGTAGTACTTTTCATTCTAAAAATATATTTTAAAAAATACAGTAATTAGCAAGAAAACAGTTTAAAAACATGATAACAACATTTACAGTATTGTTTTGCTACTTGAATTGACAACTGAAAAAAAACGGATTAAATAAACAGCTAACAGATAAAGTATTAATGGACCTGAGGTTCAATGGACTTGATCATGTTATAATTATTTTTAAGTCAGTGGGTTATAAAAAAATACCCCCGCCGCAGCAAACCTGCATACTAAGCGAATTTCCATTTGACTGATTGGATTTACACTGAAATGTCTACTTAAAAATATAACATTAATTCTTGATTTAAATAGAATTAGTTTAACAAGTACTTAGGTTTGCTGCATCAGGGAGGGTAAAACTGTTTTTTTTTTTTTGTAAAATGTGACTAGTTAGTAAGAAATAAAAACATTTTCCAAATTTGATAAAAATATGTTCACAAACAAGCAAACTACATCAGTTTACTTATTCTCCATAAGAATAACATGGGAATTTTAAATTTACAATTTTTTGGAATTTTCTCCGTAACCATTAGGCGCATAATAACGCTTCAATATACTAAATTATTTTTTTTTTTAAGCTCTACAAAATGGTTTGGAAAGAAATTGCTAAAATTTATGTTTTTTGGGTCAAAAATGGGAAAACCCTATTTTTACCCCATAAAACCCCCCGTAAACCCCCGTTCCCATGGTCCGATCATGCTGGATCGCGAACTCGTTCGAATAAACGTACGTTTACACGTTTGTACCAAATTTCATCAAAATCGGATTATTTTTGCTCGAGTTATCGTGCTGACGGACACATATATATATATATATATATATAAATATATATATATATATATATATATGAATTTGAACGGATGGTGTTTTTGGCCTCTAGGGACCTCAAAACGAAAAAAAAAATCGGTCCCGCGTCCAGGTCTTACCATGAGTACTACGGTAATAGCTTATTCCCTATATGGGAAATTCGCTAAAAAAAAAAAAAAAAAAAAAAAAAACACTTGTCACAGACCAAACTACAGACTGCTAGTTGTATTAAAGTTCATTAATAATTACAGGCAACATCATCCATAGGCTTAGGCTTATTTCATGTCAAAAGAAAATTGTAAGATCTAATGGCCAAATGATGAGAGGTTGTGAGTCGGTGGCTCAGTCAGTAGCGTCACAGACTTCGGGCCCAAGGCAACAATGTCGTGGGTTCGGATCCTGGTCACTACCGCAAACATTTTATCAGTACAGATCACCTTTGTACTGTACCGGCTCACTCCTTGCTTTGCTATACGATCCACGCATGGGCAGTTAGTCCATATGGACGCATGGACTGGCAAATAAAAGGATAAAAGAGGCTGTGAACTTCTTTTTTTTAAGCGGTTTACCAATGAAATATTCCTACACAAAGCAAGGTTTTTAATCTCAACTGCCTGTAACTATAAACTTGTTGTTTTTTTGTCTAGTCTGTGGCAACTTAGATTGAAAGAAGTAGGCCTACTACCATTACACAGTATAATTTAAGTAGGCCGGTCACTCTTGATTGTATGGGGCTGTCCGTAAATTAAGGTTCTCCCATGAGCTCCCTGATTAATTTTGTCATAGTATTCAAAAAGTTGTGAAAGAAAATTAACACTCACGTTAATTGTCAATATCAAATTAATGACACCTCTCTGGATTATCAAGGACTACAGTCAGCCCTAGAAGTCTGAAACACGCCAGATTATCAAGCAAAGTTTCCTCAAATCCAATTACTGTGTCAATGGAAACTGATGAACACCCACTACCGGCCACGTTGTAAAAATCTTCGATAGATAGATAGATACCTAGATAGATAGATAGATAGATAAATTTATTTGATCATTAAACATTATACATAAAATGCAATAGATCATGTCTTCACAGCCTTTGGCGAGCTCCCTAAACCACTGATGTATATTTACTACGTCACAACACTTTTTTGCATTCACATGTCAACTGGCAACAGTAATCAACTGGTATTGACCGTTTCCAACACAAACTTAATCACAAACAAGATTCATAATCAGGAGCGTTAATTTTTTACACTACGTTTTAGAATACCGGTACTATGAAAATTTTTCAAAACTAAATCGAAGTGGGAACAGTCTAGATTATTAGTGGATGAAATAAGGAAAACAACAGGTCTCAGCTTTGAACAAGCGTTCTTGTCTGCGAAGGTGTGGCCGATGGAGGCCTTAATTTATGGACAACCCTCGTATATAAGATAGTCAGGTAGTCTCAAACCAGCTTGTCTGATTTATCAGCCTAAGACCCTCACCACTGAACGATGTAATCTGTAAAAATCTTGTTCTTTGCTATAAAAGGAGAAAAGATCTCATTTAGCCTGCTACTGAAAAAATAAGAAATGTTTTACTCTTGTTTATTAAGTAGCCTATGACTATAAATATAATCTTACCCTTTCTGAGTCGTGAAGCATGTCAGCAAAGGCTGACCGAGCAATCTCCTGATGATAATCATAAGAATCATCTTGAACCTCCCAACCATACTCCCCAGTTACTGGGTCAAACTTTTGCGTCAAAATATTACTGCTTTCAATTGGCATAGTGTTATTGCTCTGTTGGTATGCTATTTGTTCGCTTGTTTGTTTTGGGTATTGCGGTACCGGTATGTTCTTTATAGTGTTTTTCTTCTTAGCTGACTTTACCTAAAAACATTTTGATACAACTTTAACATGCTGCATTAATTTTAATTTAGGATTTCATCAAGTAAACTTAAAATATTCTCTAATTAATGGACCTATGGAGTAAACTAATGGTAATTGTCATGAAAATTGGAGTAACAAATTACATGTCTTAACAGTAGGCTATTGCATATAGCGCTTTTAAAATCTTGGTGACCAATAGGCAAATTCACTCACTTGCTAACATGGCTATTTATGCCTCTCCATCTCTTTCTATCTTCTGCCTCTTGCACCGCTGCACCGTATCTAATCTAAAATCAGCCCATGTACTCCCATGCTTATTGTAGGCCTACTGCTTTATTGTATTCCTAGTGCTTACTAATAACTTGTTTAAGTAAGTGGATTCGATCCATTATAGTCCCTTTTACGAATCCCGTCTGAGCTTGACTTAGGCTACAGCTACCAACCGGCAGGCAGTGATACGTTCATAGTAGGCCTTAATAGGATTGACTTAGACCTGTCCTAGAAAATAAGTTAATCAATTTTATGGGGAATAAGTTATGTTAGGTAAGCTATAAGTTACCTAATCAATTAATGTCTAGTCAGTTAATTTGAATCTATTTGTATTCAATCATCATGTGACTAAACTGAACTGACATTGAAAAGAATGAGTTGGACGTCAGGGTAGACAGCTAGCTTCTATCCTTGTAACTAAGGCCTGTTAAAATAACATTATGAACGTGGCTACGGCCATAACATTTTGTATTTGGCATAGGCCTATCCCCAACCAGTAGTTAGTGTGTAACACCTAAGGGATAACTCAAAGTTGAAGTCCAAATATGTTTAAGGCTTCAAGACTGATAAGAGTGGCTGCTGGGTCTTCCATTCTACACTGAATTCTCCAACTGGTGGAGCGGCTGAATATCATCCAACATTTTTAATGTGAAGCAATTAACTGACCGGTATGCACTTTGTATTTTTGACACTACTAATTTCAATTTTTGTATTTTTGACACTAGGGTAGGTTAATTCAATCTTGAAGATTGCAAATAATATACCTACTTCTCTCTCTATCTTGCACTCTTACCTCGTTATGTTGTTGTATGCATAGTAGAGGATTTTGGTCTGAGATCCCATTGGTGTGCTCTATGTGCTGATTCAAAAAGTCTTCAAGTGATTCATCTGGAAGCAGTATTTTAGCGGTGCAGGGTGGTCCATTGTGTACCTTAAATGTCTCTTTGTTTACTGAAGAGGTTTCAGAGGCGGGAACATGTCCACATTGAATGGGCTTAAATCGAGATTCTGAATTTGAGCTACTCTGAAGGGTATTCAATTTCCCTTTGGTATTAATTAAATCCATTTCTTTTATTTTGTATTAGGCCATAAGTTAGGTCGATCTGCTGTCCTGGTAGACCTAACTCAGCTTTGGTACGGTTTTTACCTTCAGTAGGGGTACAGTTTCTTAACTGGGCTATGCTAATATCGAAACCAACATTTTAAGACATAGCTTGGAGTTAAAGATTGGAAAACTTAAGCCTTTTAAAGGTCTAGCTAGGCTAGGCCCTACCTAAATAAATTATCTAAAAATTGTATCTCACCAGTTTAATTGAAAATGACGACAACGGCCTTAACAACTTATACACAGTATAAATATTCATATAGACTTAATAATGGTTTTTAAAATAATCAGAGTAGATACTTCCAAATTGGACAGAACAGTTTAATTAATCTAACTAACTAACCTCAATTGCTCAATTGTTTTGTTATTCTGTCCTGTCTCCTGTCTGTTTCGTGTTTCTGTTTCTATTGGCACTGTCCTCTTCTTCTTTAGTTTGCTTAAAAAAGCTAGCTTGTTTGAGTTACCATGTAGCTCACTATTTCACATTAAAACATGACTGCTCTATATAATTTTCCCGGTCTTTTCGAATTGTTAGCATGATGGAAATTATTTTTGTTTTTCTAACAAATTGAGTTTCCCGAGGTTCATAGCTTAAAATTGGTGTGGTTAGATGTTTTTAAGTTTGAATGTCTTGTTTATTTATTTCAAATTCAAGTGGCATAATATTATTTCAAAGTTGGATTTCCGTTTCTTTAAAAAAATTTAGTAATGGTGGCCATAGCTCGCAATTTTTTTTCCATTAGGAGCGTTTATACAGTTGGGGCTGACTGCCAATTAACTTTCTTTATTTTTACGTAAAAGCATTGTCTCATCCTATTGTAGGCTTGACACTCTTTATAAATAAATACTTTGAATATATTTTTATTTTTTAGAAATATGGAAACAATTTAAGTCACAGAGAAGCAAAGGTACAGAGAAAACACTGAATGGTACTGGTACACCTAAAGTGGTGTCTAGCACTAGTTGCTGATGGTGTCTGGGGCAAAGTCCAACCAACACTGTAACGTTGCTAAACTGCTAGTAATGTTTAAAACAAGGGGAAATCGGACTGACCACCCGACAGTGGCCGACAGAGATTATTGCTGTTTATAGGACGCCTTCAATTTCCCCAATACAGAATATTACTAACACAGTTCTTGCAATTGCCACCTCTCCACTGATGAAGGAGCCAGAGAAATTCAATTTGTAGCCAAGGCAGCTACACGTGCCAACCATCAGTAGCCCTCATATCAGGTTTGTGCATGAGTACTGATAAGCCCAGCTGATGAATAAGGAAAACTAAGCATTACGAAATTTGTCTTTTGAACTCCTCCACCATTTCTTAACCGATTTTGACCATTAAGGAAAGAGCTCGTGACCTTACATTTTTGAAAAAGTCCCTTGGGCTCTGTCCCATTGGCTTTGTTATCCTTGAAAAACATAATTGTTTACATTTTGATCAGCTGGATAATTTAATTGCTGTTAAGTTGCAATTCAAAGAAACACATGATACAAACAATAAATTTTACTTACTTGGTTCGTGGTTGAAATGAAATTTTTACTATTTGAATTTGCATACACATAAAAGAAAAAAGTGAGAAAGCCTGGACAATTAGATTTGTTTCATCAAATAAGAAAAACGAATTAACATAGTAATTTATTTCTTGAGCAATCATTGAAAGAAAAGATTTGTAAACTATGGATAAACGTCATAGAATGCCACCAAGTAGAAGAAATAGAGATGCCTTTTTTAATAATTTGAAGATGTTTACAAACAATGAATGAGGATGTTAGCTGAAGTTCTACAATTTTTAGTAGGAAACATGGTAAAGCATAGCAGAGGAAACCCCTCTAAGGCTAAATAAAACTGGTACGGAAAGGACATTAAATATATGTCACCATAAAAGTCAAGTGATTTTAGAAGAGTATGACTACATCTAAGAAACCTTTCTAAATTATCATTGAATGATTCAATTATTATTCACAGTTAAGTGAAACAAAAAACGAAAAAACCATCTGAAAATCATCGGAAATTATTACTGTTATTCGTTTTTAAATAACCCTGTACTACTTTGTAATTGTTCAAATTCGAGCAACATGTACACGTGATAATTCTAACATTGACTTATTTTCATGCATAGACAATCTCAAAAAGCACATGTTTCTAAAACTTTGTAAAATAGGTAAAATATTATTTTTTATTAGGAATTTTTGCTGAAAATCAAAGTAAAATAAACATTATGAGTGTTTAACTTGATATAAAGGATAACTTTAAACATAAAGCTAACTATTTTTGCACATAAAAATTAATATTGAGTGAAGTAAATTACAATCATTGTTGGGCTGTAAATATTATATTGCGGCGGGGGTCATTCATATCTGGTTACAAGAGCATGAGCAATTTATTAAAATCACATTAAAAGTTATGTTTTGACTTACAAAATGTGGGACTAAACTTTTTTTTTTTGAAAAATTATATACCATAGCCTATTCTGGTTATGGTGAGATCATGTAGGTACTATTCAGTAAGGAATTTTGTAGGGTGTTTGTCTACTGCTGCTGGGATTTGATCTGACAGCCTGGTCACTGCTTCGTACCGTACCCTACTGCACTTGGTCTACCCACTAATATGTTTCTGGACATTTGGACCTGGACTGCCTGACTGGTCAATCACCACTGATGCTGTGGACCTACCGACTCCAGACTGAGCACAAGATCATCTGTCTTCAACCGATAAGTCAGACATATTATTATTTAGTCCAAAACATCTTACCATCTCATTTCACAGCTTACCCCTGATTAGCCTATAACAAATCAACTTTTGGCTAGCCAAACATTTTGGAGACTTGGTGCTTGAGTGCCCCTACCTCTAGGTGTGTGTGAGACTAAGTTCTAAGGGAGTAATCGAGTGCCTGGATGTCGTCGGGCATCATCAAAGAATATTTTTTATAAATTATTTAGCCTTGTTAGATTTAAGTATTGTGCATGTTCTTATTTGATGATATATTTATGCTTGTGTATATGTATTTATGAATTTATATGTACCTATTTAAAATGACTTTTCAGAATGATGGACACCTGCAGTTGCACTCAATTTAATTTCATGTTGTATTTATTATTAAATATCTTGGTTTTTAGTTTGTAAAACAACACACTTATCGTTATCTTAAACTTATCGTTACTTATCATTAAATGTTGTGAATACCTTTTTAAAAATATTTTTTGGCTTTAGTGACAATCCTTATAATTAAGATTCAGACCCCGCCCTACTCCAATGACTTGGCCGGAGAACATGGCAACACCACCCCTCTTGCCACCATAATACGTGAAGGTGATTTCTACGAAACACTACTCCTCTGTTAACAATGGACGGAATTTTACAAACGATGTGTCAAAATTAAGTATTTTTTGTGTAGACGCCCCCTTTCACCAATTCCTGTAATAAAAGCCCTCGGGCTTTGCCCCACAGGCCATCAAAATACCAATGTATTTCTTATGAAGAAAATGTACTAACCCAGCTGTTTAGTAAATCTTACTTCAGTAGTGGAATTTATCAAAAAGCGTCAAGATATTTTGTGTCGTAATGTAAATGTTGTTGTTAAGTGAATATAAACGAACAACACATGATTTAATATAAAGCAAGTATTGGGTTAGAGAAAGAAATATCAGAATTCAATAATATTTTCTGTAGATTTTTAAAAACCAAATTATTCTCTTCTATATTCTCACCCCGTAGCGAAGCAAGGCCCCTGGGCAGAGCAACTAGTATCTTTTAATGGTTGTTACATAAAATTGGAGCCATTGAAATTATGTATTTTGCATGTGATGATCTGACAACTGAATAAATATTGTGTCTGCTAACTGGCTATCATCTATTTGCCTGTATAGACACAAAATAATTAGTGTAAATCTACAAAACAATTTGAAATCAATTCTTTTGAATTCTTCTCACATCTTTTGGTATATTTTGAGTGTACATAATTTATTTGCTGAATAGTTGTAAAATTGCATGAACAGTAAACTTTCTTTATCTTAACAGTAATTATCTGCATTACCATAAAAATTATCTTGTTATCTAATGAACTGACCCAACTGGATGGATTCCCCATTGCCATCACATGAACTCAAGGGTAAGATTAATGGGGTGGCGCCCTTTAAAAACCAACTTAACCGATAAGGATAGAGTTTTGGATAGCTTTTTAATATTCCTCAAGGCAAACTTTGGCGAATTAAGATTTAGACCCCGCCCTACTCCAATTACTTGGCCGGAGCACATGGCAACACCACCCCTCTTGCCACCATATTACAATGCAGTAGAGAAAGACCTTGTGCTCTGTGCGACAGGAAATATCCTCACAGTGCTCGGCGCTCAAGCTCTTCCTTGCTTGTCACAAGTATATTTCCAGTACAATATACAGTACTAGAGCTAGAGCTGGAAACGCACAGTCGTCCTTCGTGTCCTATAAGCGTGCTTCCTCTCTACCTTAATTACTTCTCTGGTCTCTGTGGTTAATAAGTGTAAAGGGAATCTTAGCAACATGGCTACATTTATAAACACACATTACACTATAAAGGCTCTTGTGAATTATTGGATAAGAAAATTCATACAGAATTCACTTCAAATCAAATGTTTTTTTTTTAAATTCCAAATAAAGTCAAAATGTTGTAGTTTATGGGAGTCACTAAACCTTTTGGGAGAAATGATCTTTGTTAAGCCAAGATCCAATCCATATCTAATTGGGATTGAGTTTGTTTCCGTACTGTTTCTCAAATAAAACAAAATTATGTTTAGTAGAATCGATCCGTTGTATTTTTAACCTCAGTCAAGTGTTGAAACTTTTGTATAATTTCTGGAACAGTGAAGATACCTTTTATATAATTATTTCTAGATCGAACATTCACAGTTTCTGTATTAACCTCTCTTTGTCCAACAGTCAGAATAAAATTATACCCTCCAACTTGAGCATTTTTCAACTTGTTATCAAAGGGTTTGGTTGGATGTTCATTTACTAAACACTCAAAACCGGCGTCAACAAGCTGCTGCCTCACCTCCACTGCATATTTATTGAACTTTGGCACTACTGGTATCACCATAGCCTGATGAGGAGATAACCAGAATGGCCATTTCCCTTCATAAGACTCTGCAAGTATCCCGATCATCCGCTCAACAGAACCTAGCATAGCTTGATGAATTATGACTGGTCGAGACATTTCATTGTTCTGATTTTTATACGATAGGCCAAATCTGATTGGTAGTTGAAAATCAAGTTGGATGGTGGCACACTGATGGCTACGTTGCTGATAATCTTGAATTTTTACATCGATCTTGGGACCGTAAAATGCTCCTTCTCCTGGACTTTCTTTCCAAGGTTCTCCAAATGCATTGAGGCATTCTACAAGTTGGTTCTCGGCTTCGTCCCACAAGGCTTTTTCACCCATAAACTTCTCAGGCCTAGTGGAAAGGAGAAGATGAAAATCTAAACCCAATACTTCGTACACATATTTAAGAAAATCAAGAGCTCTTGTGATCTCTGATTTGATCTGACCAGTGGTGCAGAATATATGGGCATCATCTTGTTGGAACCGGTGTAACCTTGTCATTCCCAAGAGTCCTTCAGAACATTCCTTGCGATGTAGGACCCCAAAATCAGCCAATCTTAGTGGTAACTCTCTCCATGATCTCGGCTTATGGTCAAATATCAAGCAGTGACCAGGACAGTTCATAGGCTTCAACACAAACTTTTCCTCTTCTGCCTCAAATGAAAACATGTTTGATTGATAGTGTTCCAGAAGACCTGAGATCTCCCAGAGTTTGGCTTTAAATAAATTTGGAGTGATAACCTCTTTAAAACCTCTTTTACAATATTCAGATTTCATGAAGTTGACCAGTTTGTTAAAAATATGAGTGCCTTTTGGCAGAAAAAATGGTGAGCCAGGACTCATCTCATCAAAGAAAAATAGCTCTTGATTCCTTCCTATGGAGCGGTGATCTATTTTAATGATATTCTTTTGCCCCTTTTCCCATTGATTCATCTTTTTTTTGTCTGGAAATGAAGTACCACATAACCTTTGAAGTGGTTTTAGTGTGGGGTCTCCTTTCCAATGAGTGACTAGCGTTTTTGTAATCTTGAAGGCTTTTATTTTACCAGTATGTTGAACAAGCGGGCCTTCACAAATGTCAATAAAAGAACCGACACGATACATAGTTACAGTAGGAGTTATCAGTTCATTTATTATTTTACGTTTATACTCGTTAGACTTAAAAAACTTAAAAACATCTTCCTTCCTTACTACCATTCGCTCAAATAGAAGTTGCTCATTTACAATACTCTTTACCATATTTTCAATCTCTGGAAAGTCAAAAAAAGAGATCTTACGGTCAGGAATGTACATGTCATAGCAAAATTCTGTTTCCCCACACAGGTGACTACAGGCCTTTCCTCCATAAACTCTCTCCAAGGCAGCGCCCAGTAACAATGCGCTAGAATTCTGAAACACTTTCTTTGCCCTGGGATCGTTGTATTTGAGAAGAATTAGCTTGCAACTGGATTCAAGAGGTCGGTTGAAATCCCACAGTTTATCGTCCACCATAGCTACAACCCCCTCTCTAGCTAATCCCTTACTAATGTTTCTTGCTACACTGTATGGCGTGGTTCTCCGAGATTTTCCCATTACTTCTTTGCCATCAGGTAATGTTACTATAATTTTTTCTTGAAAACTTCCGCCTCTCTCATTGTTGTATCTGACTTTAAGATTGCACCATGTTATGACTTTCTCTTGAAGAATGGAAGGAGTCAGTTCAGTTTGTTTAGAATTTTCAAGTTTGACTTTACCTATAAACCAGAATGTGTTCTTATTTATTTTAAATGAACAGCAGAATAATTATGTCAAACTATATCATTTATGAGACGATAAAATACAAGACAATACAGTACAATTTGAATTTCTCTTAATAAATGAACAACACTGTTTCAAAGGTCTAAATAGTCTTAAATTCCTAAATAAATATAGCACAACTGAAAAAAAACATTAATAAGATTTAGATTTTAATTGCAATCATTTTCCCTTTTTGTCATTCACAATTTGTAATTAGGCAGAACCGCAGAACTCATCATTTGAAAATTATCTCCCATGAAGCTTTTAACCTTTTGTCTATTAAAATTAATCATGAGTGTAAAATTGAAGTGTAAAGGTAATTTTTACTAGCATAAATTGTACTGAAAACATATCACTACCCAATCTTATATTGGATTTATTTTTAAGTTCCCTCGACACGTAACCAAAGTTATTAAATGTGGTAACTCTCTACATCAAATAAAATAAAATCAAATCAAAAGATCTTTATTCATATTTGTAAATACATGTTTACATGAATAGTGCTGCTTTGTAGAGCATTTCAGACACAATGAAATTAATGGTGAACATTTTTGTTTATCAAAGTTGAAAATTGAATCCTTAAACAATCAACAGCTTATTAAGGGTTCACTAAAGCTGTCGTCCGTTTAAAAAATGAAAAAAATTGACAATCTCACACTGATCAAATCTATTTCTACGAATAGTTACTGGCATTATTGGAGTGTATGTAGCAAGTTCTTGTAATAAATCCACCAAAATATAAGTGTGAAAAGTGCTCCGCCTTATAGAATTTATGTGGTATTCCCAGATTCACGAACAAATGATTAATTATGTTGTTTACCTTTGATTGCCACTGATTATACTGTTGATATAACTACATTCTGTCCCTACATTTTCGTATCAAAATAAAGGTTGTTGAATATTAAGCCATCAACGGAGTACACTGATTACTGATTTCTGTCACATATGCCAATTTCTTAAAAAATAAAATTGATAGGACAACCTATAGTAAGATATAGCATTTTTTCTGTCTCGTCAACTACCTCAGTAATAAAAACTATGGGTCTAAAATAATTTTAGACTGTGTAGCACAATCTGCGAGTAGCTCATTCAACTACTGAGGCTAGCGAATGAAACCAATCAAATCGAGCAATCAGTAAGTCGCCGGGCGATGTCCAAATTGTCGGCAATCTGATCGAAACGCCCCCTACATTGGGCGATAGGTAATATGGTTGCCGGTGATCCAATCGCCATCGACGGGCGACAAAATCGCCTAATGTATGGGGGGCTTAAAACTGACTGAAAACCTACAATATCCAAAAAGTACATGCTAGTTATTCTATACTACTGAGCTTAATTTGAATCCCTTGTAGATCACTTTGAAAATACCTTTGTTCCAAGATATTTTAGCTTTAGAAGATAAATCTGTTGCCTAATCAACCTTTTGAAAAAAGTGCATCTGCATTTCAAATGCGATTTCTACCATGTACCTTGGTATCACGAGTAAGAAGAAACTGTGTGTTTGACTGCGGTTTCGCATTACCCATTACGTGTTTTCCAATTTGAAGATAAATTTCATGAAAACGTTTCTCCATCTTGCACTTAACCCATTTGCCTAGTCATATGATACATGTTAGATAAGGGTGGAAATTAAATATAAATTTTCTTAATATTGATGCAAGTTAATATGATTTCTGATATTTTTTACACACAATCCTTTGTCTGTTAATGCAGAGTTAGATTAAGTTTCATGATTGATTGTTGTCACAGTCATAGCGGTTTAATCTCCTAAAGTTATTTTTGTTACTGAAAATGTGTCAAAGAAGCAGAACTATTAAAGCTTAGGTCTACACAGCACCATCACCAGAACATATTCCGCTTCTTTAGCTGGTTCTTAAATATATGGTTAACATACATTTGCTTTACCATTGTCTCCCAGGAGCACTAAACTAACATGTCAGACATGCCAAAAATTGGATTGTTGTGAAAACACAACCGTTTATTGTTGGCGTTGAGATAAGAACCATTCCCAAACCATCATTATATATAATACGTGAAGGCGATTTCTACAAAACACTACTCCTCCGTTAATAATTGACGGATTTTTACAAAAGAGGTGTCAAAATTAAGTATTTTTTGTATAGACTCCCCCTTTCACAAATTCCTGTAATAAAAGTCTTCGGGCTTTGCCCCACAGGCCATCAAAATCCCAATGTATTTCTTATGAAGAAAAGATTTTGTTTACTTAAACAGACGAATAATTTGTATTAATTACATCTGTTCAAAGTAAACACATGATACACACTAGAGTGTTCGTTTTCAGAGTGAGTTCGTTTTCAGTTTCGATAGATGGAGTGGAGTGATTGATTACGTTATCTTTGGGATGACTCTTAAGTCAACAGAAATTGTGACTGTTATTCGTAAAAAAAAACACCTTTAATATTTTGCAATTGCTCGAATTCGAGCAACAGGTGCACTAGTTTTACTGTTAAATGATCTACTGATTCTTCCTATTTTATTTCCAAAGGTTCCCCCTTTTAAGATTTAAGCCCTAAGAAGATTTAAATGTATCTTTGAGATTAAAAAGATTTAATATGCAATTTAATTGTTTTTCACATTGAAGTTCTATTTTTGCTCTGTGTTTGTACTTCAAATGTTAGTTTACAAAAGAATGAAATAGAAAATATTAGGAATTTTGGTTATTATGTATATACGTGCATGTCATAATTTAAAAGCTAACAATCTTTAATACTTCTGCATAAAAGGTGCTCAGGTATCAATTTTGTAAAGAGAACCATATATAATTTACTTACGAAGTGTAATATATCCATAAAATAGGGTATGGAGGAAATAAATAATCTTTTATAATTATTTATTGTACAATAAATTGTATTAAAATAAATACTTCTTAGGTAAAAGTGTTGTAACATTTATCTTTTTAGTTTCACATTAGATAACAGTCATAGAAACTGCAGGAAAGCTTAATTTATACAATGTTTATCTGTTAAATTTTATTTGGCAGTACTCTCATTTTTAAAAGTAATAATACTATTTTATTAGGAATCTGAGTTGCACAGTTTGGAAAGCAAACATAATGCTAGTCTCATTTGCCGTTGCAATTCTAAATTCTAATAACTGCCACCAAATAATTTTTACATCTTTAATTTTCTGGCCAAGGGAATACAGTATGTGTTGAAGAAGAGTACGTGGTATCATAAAGTTGGTTTCTAACAAAACCTTCTTTATCAGCAGGTTCGGGATATGTGAATGCTATGCCTTTTTGATAAGCATACTCCATAATTTTTGTGGCTATTTTAATTGAGATAATTTTAATATTGGAGAGAGGTGGGTATAAACTGCCTTTCTTCAAATCATCATCTGATACAGCTTCAGCTAATGCTGAAGCAGCAATGAGGAATATTTCGTCACTGATGTGCCTGATGCCTGCACAGATAACACCAAGTGACACACCAGGGAAAATATACGCATTATTTCCTTGGCCAGGTTTGTACTGACAGTCTTTGAAAGATACTGTGCCAAAGGGGGAACCACTAGCAAAAAATGCTCTTCCGTCAGTGTACCTATACGCTTGTTCAGCTGTGCACTCTGCTTTGCAAGTCGGATTACTAAGTGCAAAAATTATAGGATGCTTGTTATTGGCTGCCATTGTTTGAATGATTTCTGGGGTAAAAGCTCCTGACATTGCAGATGCTCCAATAAGTATATTAGGTTTTATTGACTTCACAGCTTCAGAGAGATCTTGAATCGGTTGATGAGACTGTGCAAATTTGGATTTTTGTCCAGTTATTCCACCCTCTGGGCGATCATTGACAATTAATCCTTTTGAGTCAACCAACCAGATCTTTGCTCTGGCATCTTCCTCAGAAATTCCCTCTGCCCTCATGGCCATCACACAAAGCTCTGCAATACCCAGGGAAGCACCTCCTGCGCCCAGCAACAGGATTGTGTTTTCAGAAAGTTTTGTATTGGTAATCTTCAGCGAGGCTAGTATTCCCGCCAAAGCAACAGATGCGGTTCCCTGGATATCGTCATTGAATGTGCAATATTTGTCCCTGTATGTGTCCAAAAGCCTGAAGGAATTTGTGTTGGCAAAGTCTTCAAACTGTATAAGAGTGCTTTGACCGTAACGGCGAACAACAGCTCGCATGAATTCGTCCACGAAATCATCATATAGTTCCCCTGTAATCCTCTTCTGTCTAAGTCCAATGTACAGAGGATCGTCTAGTATGTCTTGGGTGTTTGTTCCAACGTCCAATGTTATGGGGAGACAATGTTGTGGTTTTATACCCGCAAGCGCAGTGTACAAAGCAAGCTTTCCGACTGGAATCCCCATTCCGTAAGCTCCTAAATCTCCTAAGCCCAAAATACGCTCTCCGTCGGTCACAACAATCGCTCTGACATCTGATTCTGGCCAGTTTTTCAAAACATCGTAAATGTGGCCTTTATCATGAATCGATATGTAGAGTCCTTTTGGCCGACGGTAGATCAAGCCGTATTTCTGGCATGCCAAACCAACTGTGGGAGTATAAACTACTGGCATCAATGTTTCTACATTTTCTGAGAGAAAACGATAGAACAGTTTTTCATTTCTGTCCTGTAAATCCATGAGATATACGTATTTGTCGAGATTGTCCTTGTACCTTTCAATGTTGAGTCGACACAAGTTCAACTGTTCCTCTTGTGAATAAATGCGAGGAGGTAGAAGTCCATGGATTCCCAGCGTCTGTCGTTCCCTCAGTGTGAAGGCCAAGTCTTTGTTGAGTTGAGCGTCCTTCAGATGGTCAAGTCCTCGCACCAGATTGGAGGATAAACTATCCTTGTGTCCTTTACTAAACTGCCTCTGTCCCAGGCGATGCCCAGACTCATCAATACTCAAATACTGATTGTCATTAGGTGTGGCTCCAGTCCCTGTACATTGGCAACGATTTGTCATCGGACGGAACTGCAGGTTTAATCAATAAATTACCCCATAAAGGTGAAAATGGATATTAAAATGTATATGAGTGTTATATGTGTAGTTTAAAAACATAAAAATTACATAAAACTTAAAAATTCAACTAATAAGACATATAACTCAATTTTATTGAAAGAAATTTTGTACTACTCTTCCAATCTCTTTGATAACTTAATAATAATGTGGGCAAGTTTGTCTGCAAAATGGTAATGATAAACATTTTCTGTTTTGAAAACTAAACAAATGTTTAAAAAGTTAATCATGCATTAAGATGTAATGGAAAGGAATAACTAGGGAGAATTTGTTGTGTTTCATTGATAAACTTGGACAACATAGGAATTTCCAAATCTTATTATTTCCTGAACTTTTAAAGTAATAGCTTTGACTATTGATACAACTATTGATACTTCCTGTATCCAATAGTCAATGGTATTAGTCAACAACATTCTTCAACACTCATAGATTTGGATTCTGACAGAATTATTAAATTTAGTTTCCAACAAATATCCTACCATGAGTATATTTTACAGCAATTTAAAGAAACGTTTTCAAACATTTATTTATGACGAAGCTATAGTAGATGTCTGGAGATGCCACTGTGTTGACAAATCATGTCACAAATTAGCCACGAATAGGAATGCTAGGGATTGGTGTTAAATATTTGCATTTATGCGATCTTGTTTGTAGCTGAGTTGCTACCGGTTTCAACTCACATTGGAGTCATCTTCAGGCAGTTAGATGTCTTCTCGCTTCATTCGAAGGTCGTCAATAGATAATAAATAAATAAACAAAACACAAACACGTACACGGACATGAATAAGAACATTTAAGGCCTTGTATCATGTTGATTCTGACCGGCAGTCTAGACATAACTTTCGCCCGATCATGTCGTGTCGTGTCCCGTAGGCCTACCGTTTTCAGTATTTTATAGCCTTAAATGTTGTTATTCATGTCCGTGTACGTGTTTGTGTTTTGTTTATTTATTTATTATCTATTGACGGCCTTCGAATGAAGCGAGAAGACATCTAACTGCCTGAAGATGACTCCAATGGGAGTTGAAACCGGTGCAACTCAGCTACAAACAAGATCGCATAAATGCAGGTATTTTACACCAATTTATAGTATTTAAATGTGATCAGGAGGCTAAAATTCAATATAATGAATGCTAGGGTTTTAAAGTACAATGTACTCCATCCCTTAGTACAAATGGTGGCCAAAGTCTCGCAACTCTATTCTTCAGTCCAGTTTTATATTAGAGGTTAAAACATTGTCAATGTCACCTGTTTCACCAACTGTGCTTAATTTATTTGTGAAATGTATCTATTGTATGAAAATAAACTACTTGACTTGTTGTTTGTGGATGTCATAGAGTACAAGGGTTGTACTCTAACCCTTATACTCTAGTTTTTTAGGATTTTTTGAGAGGATAGCAGACTTATCTGAATGGGAAAGAGTCAAAACTAGCTTAATATTAACTTTAATATTATTTTTGCTGATTCTTCTATATTTCTTCACATAACCTTAAATTTGTAGTTGTGTTGGCTGTTAGTGTACATTTATTATATATATTTTCTCAAATCTGTATGTGGTGAATATTTTTTTTATTTTTTTGTACCATGGGTCAAAAAAGTCTTCGTTTTGAACTTAAAAAATGATCTCGAGGTGGCAAAACCTCAATTTTGGTCATAGGTTCAAAATATAGCCTACTATTATGTATATGATGCACATTTGTGTCTATTGGGCCATTTTGGACTCTTTCCCATCCAGGTAAGCCTGCTATCCTATAAAAAAAATCCTGACTTGTTTCCTTGATTTTTCAACTCTACCACACGTATGTACACATAAACAAAACGGCTCTGTGACAAAAGCTAAGCATATTGTCCACATCACTTTAACTACAACGTACAGAATCAGTGAGCTTTGTGATATGACTTTTTCATTGTTCATTATTGTTTATTGGTCTGCAAGAATAGTGGAAAATGAAATGAGTGAGTTTTGTGGAGGGAGATCCCCCCATATAGTCGCTCTCTTTTTTTTACTTGATAAGAGAATCTACGTCTTGTGGACCTATGAACCACTGGACCCAAGAAACACATATTGTGAATGACTGTTGGGGATTGGCAAGATGTTAACCCTAGACTCCAGAGCTGAAGTCCCACATTACACTTAACTGAGCCCTCTAGTAAATCTTTTACCATTATTGAGATTAGTACTGTAACATAGTAATTTTAGTTAACTATAGTTTTCCTGTTCTAACAAAAGTATCCTGTTTTATGTAAAAAAAACCCTCACCTTCAATTTTATCTGATCCTTCTGTTTGTTTATCTACAATTTCGTAACTGGGACCTGATTTTGACGATGTCCAATCTTTTCTAAATTCAACAAATGCTTCGTTATTCAAAATATTTTCTTTTGTGGAATTTGTCTTGCCATCCATAAACTTATCATTGTGGTTATTATTTATATCATGTCCCCCAGTCGAGTTTTCTGATTGGTTTTTCAGTCTTGTATTTAGGTTATTTATTACTTCTTTTTTATATGTGGCTTGACTTTTGGAATTTCCCTCAGAGCCTGGTGTAAACATGAACAGTTTGTTAAAAATAATATTTCAGTCAGCAAAATTAAATTATTTGAAAATAGGTATAGATATGGATGGTATTCAATATAAAATCAATATGATTGTAATGAATTATAAATTACTAGCTGTAGTACCCGTGCTTTGCAACGGGAAGAGGACACAAAATAGAAACATTTTAATCTTTAAATCTGTTGCATATAATAGTTACACATCCGCCAACGCTTTTAGAAACAAAATTAAACTTTTATGGCTTTGCTAAAAAAATCAAACGATTAGCAAAGAGACACAACATCTACTTGTAGTGTTAGACTGAGATTAGCAGTGAATATTTCAGGCCTACAGTAAATTTGACAACAAAAACAAATTTTTGGAAAAATATTCATTTTAATTATGAGAAAAACTGTGGAAAATACATGTTAAAACACCAATTCTCATGAACATTATTAATTACAAATTTTCTTTTTACAGGCAAAAGAAGGAATGTTTATAAATATTTAACAAGTAGTTTAGTGTTTTTTTCTGTTTGTCTAACTTCAAAACTACGGGTACTGTGTTCTTATATAAAATATACAGTATTTGTTTCAGAAACAATAATTGTTAACTGTTCTATTCGCTATTTATATGTCATCCATAATCTTAACAAATCAATACACAAACAAATGTGTAACTAATACTAAAGCGGAAGATTTTGAATAGCTTTCCTATCTAGCATTATTCGACAACTAACATATAACAAAACAAGCATTAGATGTTACAATGGTATTAGAAAGTTTATGATCTATTCATATTTTATCAATGGTTAAAGGTTTACTTACCCTGAAATGGATCGCCAAAAGTTATTCCACTCTCACTGAAGCCATTTGTTGTCAGATCTTTGTTAATTCCTGGAAAAAGATAGTTTAAGCTATAAACGTAAGCAATAAAGTAAAAAAATATCAATTAATTAGAGTACTTATTAATTAGATTAGATTTCTATTTGACACTGTCACATGACGGCAGATGAGTGTTAAATTAATTAGATAACAGCTGTGTTACTGACTAAGATCAGCTGGTCAGTCAGGATCATTAAAGTCTCATTTGTCCAGATTCAAACCATCAAAGAGTTTGATTTTATTTCAGATTCAAACTGGCAAACTTCTGTTCTGATTACTGGATCACGAACTTTAAAAAATCAATATTGACTTAGTTTTAACACAGCTTTGGAATATTGTTGAAAATTATCCATACTTTTTTAATGCAGTTGGTATTTTTCATCGGCAAACAGTTCTAAAGGTGTGAAATACAGTATTAGCCAAAATAAACAGTACTGAAACTGAATCAGCTGTAGTTGCCTTCTCGATCAGCTGATTCAATAGGTGATTGTTGCCACGGCTTTGCGTTCATTACTTCTTTCTTATTTGAGGTTAGTTTTTGTTAACATGGTGCTAACAACTTTAGAAAAAACTTTTATCGTAGAGCATTATTTTCGCTCATACGAAATTGGACGTGCGGGTGGTCCAAGCTTGTCACACACTGCTTTACGTTTTCAGGAACATTTCCACAAAAACCCGCCTAGTAATGCTGTGATTCTTAGTGTTGTCGAAAAATTTCGAAGAACTGGTAGTGTTTTGACACAGCGAAAGGGCTTTTCAGGTCGCCCAGTTACTGTCTGTACAAATGAAAACCACGGAAGAGTGTTGCAGCAAGTGTTACAGTCACCTAAAAGAAGTATAATGCGAGCTTCTCTTAAACTGAATATTAGCAATACGTCAATGAGAAGAATGTTCAAAAATATTGGTGGTTTTCCCTACAGGATACAAACTGGACAACCATTGGATCGTATAAACAAACTAGCCAGAGTTCAGTACTGTTTATTTTGGCTAATACTGTAAAATTACTGTACTTCAGAAATTTTACAGATTTTTCACATCTTTGTTTGCAATTTATACTCTTAAATAAAATAGAAATATTTAATACTACAAATAAGCCAATTTATTATCTGTTGATTCCTGATTGACTTTGACGAATTATACAATCAGAACAGTGTTCTAAGACTGTAAACTACAATTAAACGATGATTGCAAATCATAAATAAATAAAATGAATGGCCTCCATAAATCAAAAGTATATGAAATGAATTACCAAACCTCCTTTATTTAAATCGTCCTGAAATCCTCCTGATGCACCACTTTCACCAGGCATACTAAAGCTGTGGTTTAATGTATGTTTTCCTGCATATGTTGGTATCATTGGTGCATAGATTCCCACTGCATTAGAGCCAGCACTTTCCCCAATGTAGTGATGAGATGGGATGTCCCTAGAATCTTGAAGTCACACATAGGTTTAGGATTCAAACAATTTATATACGGTACATATATAAGTCTAAAAGCACGATGCAAGTAAGAATTATCAGATTTTGATGAAATTCGGAACAATCATGTGTTAAGGGTTTCGCGAAGCAGAACAATTTTATTGGCTGAAAATTATTTTCCAGTTTTTGGCCCTCAAAACAAAAATTAATTTTGAAACCACCTTGTAGAGCTTGAAAATAAATAATTTTGTTATTGAATGAAGTTTTGTTGTACAAAATACTTACAGAGAAAAGAAAAAAGAAATTAATTGATTAATTCCTATGTTACTTTTATGGTGAGTAAAAATAGATTGGGGTGGTTTAAGTAGATTGCTTTACAAAAGAATAAAATCTGAGAATTTGTAATATTTCACATCCAACTATTAACATTTTACTAGAAAAAAGAAAAACACTTCCTTCTCTGTAGCAGCGAACCTAAGCACTCATCAAACCTATTGTTAATTAAATAGGAAATAAATCTAACTTCTATAAGATAGTATTTTAGTAAAAATCCAATAAGTGAAACGGAAATTAGCTTAGTCTGCAGGTTTTCTGCATCTGGAATATCTTACAGTTGAACTTTCTATGGCGAATAGCTAATAGAATAATAGAAATATCAACATTGCTATCAAACTTTATTGCAAAAAAGAATTCATTCATTGGTTCTGTCATTATTTTGCGACATAACTGCATCAATTGAAAGATTTTTATTTTGAAAGAAGTAAAAAAGTCATAAATTGTTTTAATTTTTAACTTAATATCAGTTAAATAATACTTAAAAGACAAATAGTTTGATAGTTAACAGTAAAATATCTTACCTGCTACTGGAAAATTCCCCATGTTTCTGTGGTTAGTTCCTTATAACCTATGTTCCTAAAAGATAAATAAACTACCTACTATTTAATGTAAAAGAGGTGTTTTTAGATTCATTTTGAACAATGTCTTATTGTTAAGTAGTGTACTAGCCCAGATTTACATACTTCTAATTCTATCTATGTGGGAACATGAATAAGTATGATATAATAATGATTAACATTTTCACTTAGTAAGTTGATAACACTGATAGTATCTTAACTTAGGGTTATCTGTTAGCGGATGTTGATTGTGTTGGTCATTGTCTTTTGAATTTAAGTAACATTTTGTTATTTATTTAGTGGTGATGTTTTTAAACAGAAAAAAATGTTTCATTCATACTGTATCACCCTTTTTGGTGACAGAATAAAATGATCTTTTGTTGCTTTTACTATACTGTGCATAAACTTAAAGAGTTACAGTATAAATAGTACATTTCACTAGGCCTACTAGTCCAGAAAGTGATCCAGTTTGGGGCAAAAGAAAGGGGCTTACGAGAAGCAAAGTAAAGCCCAGTAAACAACTAACCCCTGAAATGGATCTTTCATGACGAGTTGTGAACGACATTTTTCATCTTGATGAAAAAAACCAAAATTCATGTTTTCGGCCCTGGACTATATTGTTATGACAACCATAGGGTTTTTACATACCTCCGTCAAATAGTCCAAAGAATGATTTTGCTCATCAGCTTACGTATTTAGTTGCGAAGACAACATTTTCAAAGCTTGCAACTCGTCAAAAACACATTTAAAACACGGACACGAACACAGAAAACATTAATACGGTACAAATACACAATAAACATTCAGATAGCGCTATTATAATGTTTATCGTGTATTCGTACCGTATTAATGTTTTCTGTGTTCGTGTCCGTGTTTTAAATGTGTTTTTGACGAGTTGCAATCTTTGAAAATGTTGTCTTCGCAATGAAACATGTAAGCTGATGAGCAATATCATTCCTTGGGCAATTTGACTTAGGTATGTAAAAACCCTATGATTGTCAAAAAAAAAACCACACAAAACTCAATGTTGAGCCCTGTGGCACACCACACGAATTTAGTTCATTGAAGCATTACTGTTTGACTGTGTTGATCATGGCATCTTACTGCGCAAACTGCAGTATTACGGGGTCCATGGTGGTGCGCTCAGTCTCTTTGAGACCTACCTCGCGGACAGAAGGCAGGTGGTTTGCATAGGAGGAGAGACTTCCTCTATTGCTACTAGCAACTGTGGCGTTCCCCAGGGGTCTGTACTTGGCCCTCTATTGTTTCTTATTGCTGTGAATGATCTACCTTGTAACTTAAATGGAAATATTTTTCAATATGCAGATGATACGACCATGCTTAATATTGGTAGAGATATATCTAACCTCAGAAATTCTGTGGTTCATGGTATGAATAGGGCCACAGAATGGTTTGCTGCCAACAGCTTTCTTTTAAATAAGGACAAAACCTTGGACCTAATTTTTAGTCTTAGGGAACTTCCATATACTATAGTGTCTAACAGTCATGTAAAATTTCTTGGTGTTACATTGGATCAAAAATTGTCTTGGGAGCCTCATATAAACCAACTTTGTACTAGGATGAGTCGATTAAAGTGCCTCTTTAGAAAATTAAGATGTGTAATCCCAATAGATTGTCTGTTAAATGTTTACTATGGCCTCTTCCAATCATCAGTAAGCTATGGAATAATTTTTTGGGGAAATAGCCCACATGTAAAAACGGTTCTTGTAATTCAGAAAAAGATTCTAAGAATAATAGCCAAAGTAGATGTTATTGAACACCATAAACCAATTTTTATTGATTTTAAAATTCTCACTGTTGTTAACTTGTATATTTTTAATTTATTGTTAACTAGTTTTAAGAATTTAAATGCTTTCAACTGCCGTAAAGATGTCCACCAGCACAATACTCGATTCAGAGATAAACTTGACATTCCCTATGTTAGACTGGAGAAATCTAAGAAAAGCTATGAAATAGTGGGCATGCAATGTATTCTACTTTTATGTTCTCTCTCCCATATAATTCTTTTAAACATAAAATGTTCCAATGACTAGCTGTTAATCCTTTTTACGAACTCAAAGACTTTTTAGACCTTCCTTCGTCAAAGTTATGTTTTTAGTTGTCATTGTCTAACTTTTATGCCTTCACCTAATGCCTTGTAGTACAACCTGTCTAATTTTGTAATGTTTTGCTAACTTTTAAATGGTTTTTTTTACTTCTCGATAGTGATAAACTCTGTGATATTAGTTTAAGACCAATAACTAAATAACTTAAAATGCATTATTTTTTCGTAGACTTCAAAGAATACTTTGTAACTTACTTCTCAATTTGACAACTGCTCTGCATGAAAAATGTTTTGACTCTTCCAATGCATTTGTAATATGTCTACTGGAAATAAACATGTCTTATGTCTTATTATTATGCGCCTAATTGTTACAGAGAAAATTTGAAAAAATGGTAAATTTTAAATTCTTATGTTATTTTTATGGATAATAAGTAAACTGTTGTAGTTTTGTTGCTTGTTTTGTTTATGAACTTATTTTGATCAAATTTGGGAAATGCATTTATTTCATACTAAACTATTAACATAAAAAAAAACACTTTTCTACCCTCCCTTTTGCAGAAAACCGTGCTCTTTAAACTAATTTTATTTAAATAGGGAATAAAAATGTCATATTTTTAAGGAGGCATTTTAGTGTAAATCCAATCAGGCAAATGGAAATTTGCTTAGTCTCGCAGGTTTGCTGCGGCGGGGGTATTTTATCTATTTAATCACAATAACAAGAATTCAATTCGGTCAGTTCCAACCTTCATTTTTAACTCCAGTATTGTAATTTAAACCTAAAGGAAACACATTGAGGAAACAAACATATATGTAATGGCTAAATACATTAATTTGGAAAGCAAGTTATAAATTCTCAAGAGTTTTGTTTAGTATTATAGAAGAATTTATTTGTAAAATAAGAAAACAATGATTTTTTAAATCTGACAAACAATATTTTTTTAGAGGAGGGTGTATCTTAAAAATATGTAAATCAAATTCCAAACCAGTTTTAAAAATTCAAAAATAAAAGTACAAATATATCACTAAATAAATATATATATCACTAAATAAATCTGGATTGCAGAGAAAAGTGGGAAACAGAAAAGTAGTTTTATATTGTCAAAGGTCTTTATTAGTTAGTGTCTTAATGTATATATATATATACAGTATACAGGGTGAGTTTTAATTCCCCCACCCAACTTTTTTCTATATTTTTTCAAATATCAATCCCAGACCACTTCCAAACATTGTTGGGTAGTAAGTACTTCATTTTGACAAGGTGGTCATTTCCGGCCGCCATCTTGGATTTACAATGTTTTGTTGAGGATTCAAACGTGCTCGCCATATTGGATGCAAAATATTTGTTTCAAATGTAAAGGTGGAGTTGTGACCCATTATTTCAAACTAAAATTTTACCCTGATTACAATGCCACAAACTGTTTAAAAAAATCTTGATCCATTCCAAAGTTATGAGGGCTTTTCAAAACTTTATTTTTAGCCCATTTTAACATTGTGCATTTACAAACTAAGACCATAATCTCAAAATGGTGATAGATAAAGATAAGGATACACTACCAGTCATTGTTGACCTATTTTCACTTGGTTATGACGGATGTATTTTTTCGGCCGCCATCTTGGATCTACCATTTTGAAGTGTGATAAATTATTTTAAATATGAAGGGGGGTTGTGACCCATCATCTCGAATTACTTTTTTAAGCTAAACTCAATGCCGCAATCCATTTTTCGTTATCAAGTTTTATTTGTGAAATATTGCAATTTTATTGTAAAAAATGTCAATAGTTCAAAATCAAAATATCAAATGAAAAACGGGTCATGGAATTGAGTTCAGCTTAAAAAGGTAATTCGAAATGATGGGTCACAACACCCTCTTCATATTTAAAATAATTTATCACGTTTCAAAATGGCGGATCCAAGATGGCGGCCGAAAAAAATAAATCTGTCATAACCAAGTGAAAATAGGTCTACAATGACTAGTAGTGTATACTTATCTTTATCTAGCACTATTTTAAGATTATGGTCTTAGTTTGTAAATGCACAATTTTAAAATGGGCTAAAAATAAAGTTTTGAAAAGCCCTCATAACTTTGGAACGGATCAAGATTTTTTAAAACGGTTTGTGGCATTGTAATCAAGGTAAAAATTTAGTTTGAAATAATGGGTCACAACTCCACCTTTACATTTGAAAAAAATATTTTGCATCCAATATGGCGGATCCAAGATGGCGGCCGGAAATGACCAACCTGTCAAAATGAAGTACTTACTACCCAACAATGTTTGGAAGTGGTCTGGGATTGATATTTGAAAAAATGTAGAAAAAAGTTGGGGGGACAAATAAAACTCACCCTGTATATATAGCCTATATGGTTTCTAAAAAGTCACAGACACAAACGTTATGGGAGAATGTTTCATTGGACAAGTATAAAATTAAAATATTATGACAACAGACCAGTGTGAGTATCTGTTAAAAACATTCAGGCACAGATACCCCAAAGAATCTCTTGAATGATTTGTTTGTGTATAGACTTGGGCTATAACATAATACTGTAATTTACTATTCTCCCAACTCCTTTACAATTTGTTCTAAAGGTTTGTTTTTTGTCTCAATAACAAAAAAATGTGCAAACAAAATACCTACAAAAGTGCAGGTTGTACAGATAAAGAAAAGACCTCCTCTGCCGATCGCTAAACTTATTACTTCAAAATAAAATGTGACTATAAAGAGTGAAAAAGAACTGAGACAAAAAACGACTGAAAGAGCATGGGTTGCGATATTTCTTGGAAACGTTTCACCAAAAAGTACTGTCGGAACGGGTCCGAACCCCAAAGAAAATGAGATTACAAAGATACAAATAATAACTAGGGGTAACCAAGCAATTGACGAAAGGTCGTAATTTCTATCTTTGAGGAAGAAGAAGAGGCCAAGAAAGAACGTAGAAGTAGCCATTCCTGCTCCAGAGATGAACAATAGAGGTCGACGACCGAGCTTGTCAATCACCGTAGAGGACACCATAGTGAATACAAGGTTTAAGGAGCCTAGAAGAATAGTCTGTATGTTGGGGCTCAAGGAAAAACCAGCCTCCTGCAAGAATTTGAAATAAATTAAATGAAAAAAGTGTCATTGTTGTAAAAGAATAAACAACACAAACATATTAACATTTTTACCTAGGACCTAGACAGGTTCTTTTCAATACATTAAAATTATCAGGGTTATTAAGTACTGGTTCCATGGCTATGGCAAAAGTACCTCCATACTTTGTATGGCAACACATTGAGCATCTAGGACAAAGGTTTATAAAGTTTTACAATTTATAATGATAATAATCTAATGATAATTTATCTTTATGTAAAACCTACAAAAAAACAAATATCTGGTTAACAAAGCGATTTAAAAATAGTTATTTGTGCATTTTGCAATTTGCACTCGAGTTGCACATTATATTTTTCCCCCAATTACCATAAAACAAATAAATTGGTAAAGAAACGTGACTTCACGTTGCAAATCTGGAGTGAGACAATGTTAACATTGTCTGACTGATGAGCAAATTGGCCAAATTCTCAAATCAGTGAGAGAACATGTTCATTGTTAGGTAACTGTAGGAAAAAGTCATTCTTGATTTCCTCTTTATTTTGACCCATAGAACCATTCCCCGAAGTTTGGCTGTTTACTTAAACGGGACAACCTGTGTATGGATTTCTGTCTTTATGATGTTGTGTGTACATTTTTTACTGATGATATAGCTTTTTATTGACTGGCTCACTGACATTTTACAACAATTAGGTTTTCTCTCTCTGCTCTCATATTTTTCATAATTTTGAGTTTCATGGGGTCCGTCCCTGAGCAGTTTTTTTTTTTGAATAATTGAATAGTTTTCTAAAGTTTTTAGGAAAAAGCATTTAGCTTGGATTAAATAAGTATATATGATGGAGAGGACACAGCTAACTCACCTGATGAAAGTTGCAGACGAGTCAAAGAACACATAAAAACACACACATAATAATACTTGATATTTCACCTCTTTCAGAGGCTTCTTCAGAGTATTATTTGAAGGCCATTAGGCCTAGAAGGCAGTTACAGAAACAACAGTTTAAAGTAAATAATATGGCCTGTTTAAAGAGTTTAAAAAATATAGTATTCTTTGAGTATTGTAGATTTATCAAGCTTGTCAACTTACGTGAAATATTTTGGTATTGTAGTATATGATACCAGGCATACCACTAAACTGCCGGATTAACACAAGTCCTAAACAGATGACCAATCCTTTTTTGGCAGCTTTGGTGGAAAAGGCTTCAATGAATTTCAGTTTGGCTGCTTTCATCTAATAAGAAAACAATTATTATTTGTAACGTTATTAATTCTTAAAAAAAGATTATAGATAACTTTAAGAGCAGTATTATTACTTTCTCCCCCTATAGATAGTGTATAAAGAAAAAAATTGAGAAAGTATATTGTTTTTGTCAAAATTGTTCTGTTTGAGTTTTAGGGGAAAATGTAATAGTTGGGTCTCCCTGAATCCAAAAAAGTCGTTTTGTGTGTGTGTTTGTAGATGTGTACAGAGACTACTTAATTCTATACTGTGGACAAGGTACGATTTTGATTAAATTTGTTATGTTGGTATTAATCTTCGGTATCCCTGGAGTTTTTTAATTTCTTGGAAATTGCTAATTTTAATTGTAAGGTTTTTATAAAATAATGTAAAAATCAGATTTTTACAAAAAAACTGCTTGAAATTATTTTACTTAAAATGGTTTACAATACCTGCATATAGTAATCCTTTGTTGCTGATTTTGGCAACTAGTTTTGGTTCTTCTGAACCATCATCAGGCCTCAAGGTAATCACTTCATTCGAAGAGCGTTAACAAACAGAGTTTTTTTCAATTATCAATTATCAATTAGTTAAGATGGGGACGCCACTATGTGCGTATTTTAACCCAAATATGAGTGAAGGATGAGTGTAGGATGAGTGGCGCGATCTTGTAGTCTTGTTAGTGACTAAGGCCGACATGTTCCTTAGACACAGCTGTTTTTTTTTTTTTTTTTTTTTTCATAAACAAAGCTTGCTGCAAAAGCCAGGAAAAATTGGCTTGTCTGCAGCTCATAGAGATAAACTTGTTCTAGATAACAATGTACTTTGTCCCTTGGTCAGTCTTCTCCATATTACACTCTGGTTTTCCTTGTTTCTTGTCAAGATCTGCTATTTGTTGTTTTGACTTATTCTCTACCTTTCTATATAAGACTAGCTTGCTTTAAAAACAACTTGAAACAATTATCTTAAATAAATAAAATATATAACAATAAATAACATGCATTAAATACTTCTCAACTTTAACAATAATATAATGAAATAATTTTTTAACAATACAACAATACATAACTAAATAAATAATTAAATAATTTATAATAACAACAATATTAAACCAGTTTTAATGGATTCCTTGAGATGACAATACTAAAATAAATAACGTGCATTAAATGATTTTAACTTTAACAATAATATAAAAAGAAAGTAATGTAATAAACAATGTTTAAATGAATTTATTGAGATAACAATGCTTAAGCCTAGATTTCAAGACTCTAAAACTAGTTATATTTTCTATTTCAGTTGGCAATCTATTAAAAAACGTTGGAACTAGAAATTTTCTAACTCTTTTTGAAAATTTGTTTGTGGTCTTAGGAACAATATAAAACTGTTTGCGTGAATTGTATCTATGGTCATTTTTTACTTTAAATTCATTTGAGAAATAGTAATCAAGTAAAATTATATACTCAAATAATACATCCACTGGTAATACCTCAACCATCCTATATCCGAGCAGAGGGTTTTCTGACAAAACAGTAGAGTCAAGCTTTGTCATAGTTTTTATGATTCTATTTTGCACAGTTTTTATTTGATTTATGGCTGTGGGTGATGCTGATCCCCATGATCTTAAGCCATATCTAATCACTGACTCACATATGCCTGAATATATGATTTTCATTGTTGTAAAAGGTAAAAAATCTTTTAAATAGAAAAATTTTGCTGCACAAACTCGTAGCCTGTTTGTTACTGTCTTAATTTGTAAATCCCATTTCATATTGTGGTCAATTGTTATACCTAAATATTTGTAATTCACTACATTCTGTAATGGTAGGCACCCACATGCAGCATTTTCAAATTGTTTATTGTGTAAGCAGTCATGACAATGGAATTTCACATTTATTTCTGAGCATTTGTATGACGGTGAATGTATGTGCATCAACTTTGATTTATCTCCATTTATAGCTAGACCATTGTCGTGGCACCACATGGTTAAACTTAAGAAATCTATTTGCATTTTTTCGGTAGCTTCCTGAATGTTTTTGTGGGATAATACAAGCGCAGTGTCATCTGCATACATATATATTCTACTAAATTGTAATATTTCAGGAAGTGAATTAACATACAACAAGTATATCAATGGCCCTAATATACTACCTTGGGGTACCCCATACCTTAAGATTTTTTCCTCTCCATATGTACTCTTAATTCTAACCTTACATTTTCTATCCATTAAATAACTTAAAAACCAGTCTTTAATTTGCCCTCTTACTCCTGCTGTGTCCAGAGCCATTGCAATTGTCTCATGCTTTAAAGTATCAAATGCCTTACTAAAGTCTATAAATATTACTAAAACCTGTTTTCCTTCACTAAGCTGTTCATTTATATAATCTGTAAAATCTAAAAGTAGCTCGTTTGTTCCTTTCTTCCTCTGATATGCATATTGCTGTTTGCTAATAATACTATTCCTTTCTAAATGGTCAATCAAATTATTTGCAATATATCGCTCCATTAACTTACTAATAGCTGGTAAAATAGATATTGGACGATAATTCAAATAGCTCTCATGACTTCCTGCTTTATAAATTGGTCTAATTACTGCAGTTTTTAACAGTTCTGGAACGCAAGATTTTTTAATTGAAGTATTTATCAGTCTTATTATGGGTTCAGACAGTAAATCAGAATTGTTTTTTATGTCCTGCATGCGTATATTATCTAAACCAGGTCCCTTTTTCTTCATAGATTGTACTAATATATTAAAATTTTCCTTATCCAGGTCTGGTATGGTTAGAGTCTCCTTACATTTCTTTTGCTCCTTATATTGTGACACAATTATCTGACAGTCATGTAAAGATGCATATACACATTCTGTGAATTGTTCTCCAAAGGAATTGCACACTGTTTCTATTTTGTTGTTCTTATCCAATAAATATTTCTCTACGACCTCATCTATATTTTTTGTTTTATTTTTTCCCAAAATTGTATTTATATTATTCCAAGTCACTTTCATATCGTTTCTACTTCTTTGGAACAAACAATAGTAATAATTTCTTTTAGCTTTATTAATTTCTGCAACTACCTGGTTTCTAGCAATTTTATAATCAACTCTATGTTTGGTTATATTTGGGTAGGCTTTATGTGTTCTGAAAAGTTTGTCTCTTTTTTTAATCATGTTAACTATTTTTAAACTCATCCATGGCTTCTTTGTTTGCTTTTGTCTTTTTATTTTACAAACTGAACTAATTTCATAGGCTTCTTTGAAATTTAATAATATACGGTTGTAAATATCATTTGGATTATTTAAAGTATTAATTGACTGCCATTCCATTTGTCCTAGTGCCTGTTTTAGTACAGCTATATCAATATTTGCTGATTTATTTTTCCTCTGAGTGGATGGACAGCAATGGTCAGTCTGAACGTTGATCACACAGGTGTAGTGGTCTGATATCTTTACCTGTACGATATCTGAGCTGACCTTTGCTCTCTTAGCTCTAAGGAACGCATGGTCTATACATGTCTGAGTCAATTTATTTGCTCTTACTTCCTCTCTGGTAAAATCATTAATATAAGAAATCAGCCCATGTCCTGCCATAATTGATTTATAATCCTCAACACTTTTTTTATAATAATCCTTTAAGTCCAAGTTCATATCTCCAATCACCAATAGATCGCCTTTAATATCTGTTATTATTTTTTCCATTTCAGCTATAAATCTATATTCATCACCTGATGGCTGTCTGTATGTGGCTACAATATTTATCACATAGTTATTTTTTGTGACCTTAATGACTTTGCTTTCAAAACTACTACTGTTTACATCCAACCCCTGTACTAAAATGTTTTCTTTAATAAAAATTACAATACCTCCACCTTTTTTTTCTTGTCTTAAATTGTGCACTATGTTATATCCCTTAATATTAAAAAAATTCAAAATTTCAGACAGAGTTTCTTTTACATTAACTTCAGTAAATATAATTATGTCCACAAAAGTAAAACATTCATAAAAATAAACCAAAAACTGATCCCAATTTTTTCTTATTGACCTAATGTTAAGATGCAAAATTGTTACACCTGACTCATACTGTCCTTCAAAACATGAGTTTTTAAATTCTTGTGTATTCAAAAAAACTTGTGCCCTATATTGATCACTATCAAAAATTTCCATATTGTTTATCAATCAGGTCTAAGAACTAATAATGTGTCAGGTACAACAAATTATAGCTAAATTTTGCACTAACTAAATTATAGCAAATTATAACAAGTATAGAGCTGTTAATTAATAGCCCATACAGCTAATGGCAACTAAGGGACCTACAGTTTATAGTGGAATCCGAACCACATTTTTCCTTGTAATTTACGAATTGGTCTAATTATCAGGATAGTACTGCGGATAGTCGTAGTACTCACTAGTGCGGACGTTAATCCACACCAGGGAGCATCGCATCCACAGTGCATCCCTATAAATATCCACAATTCAATAAATAATATATATACAAAACACGATAACACGGAATGGACACACATTACAAAAAACACGAAGGGACATTGACAATCGATCGTGACTGGGCTGAGGTAAAGTCTTTACCTCAAAGTCAAAGTCAAAGTCAAAGTCAAAATAAACTTTATTCGTATGAATACATTGCAGCATCAGAATAGAGTCACATATAACTAAAAATACCTCATATTACTTATGCAGGTATTGTAATTTAAAGTATAATACAGTAATCCAGAGGCTAAACAACTATTTTTAAAATTATTTTAATTAGAATTCAGTGTGTTATGATCCATTAAATTCTAAACAAAATGGTACAACTCTCTATTGTGTAAAAATTATGGTTTAAATTCAAATTCAAATTCTTTATTAACTCATAACATCATTTGGAGTACAATGTACATAGATAGGAGTTTTGTCAATATTTATAATACCCCCGTCGCAGCAAACCTGCATACTAAGCGAATTTCCATTTACCCGGCTTGATTTCTACTAAAATATTCCCTATAAATTTTCAGATTTATTTCCTATTTAAATAACATTAATTTTAGTGAGTAGTTAGGTTTGCTGCCACGGGGAAGATGTTGAGATGTGTTTTTTTCAATTGAAATATTGATAGCTTAGTATGAAATAAACCAAATTGCCAAATTTGATTAAAATATATCCATAAACAAGCAAACTAGAACAGTTTATTTATTCTCCATAAGAATAACATGGGAATTTTAAATTTACAATTTTTTTAAATTTTCTCCGTAGTCAATGAACATTCAAAAACACTTCAATATACTTAATTATTAGTTTTTTTTAGCTCTTCAAAATGGTCTAGAGAGAAATTTAGAAATTTTAAGTTTTTAGGGTCAAAAATGAGAAAAACCCATTTTTACCCCATAAAACCCCCCATAAACCCCTGATCCCATGGTCCGATTATGCTGGTTCGCGAACTCGTTCAAATAAATGTAGGTTTACACGTTTGTACCAAATTTCATCAAAATCAGATCAATTTTGCTCGAGTTATCGCGCTAACGGACACATATATAAATATATATATATATATATATAAAAATATATATATATATATATATATATATATATATACTAGCTGACCCGGCGAACTTCGTATCGCCTAAGTTATAGGTTTCCCCTAAGACAGACCGATGGAAAGAAAGTACCGTTACGTTTAATTTTCAAGATGATCTCGTTCGCATCGCTCAATCACGTCCTGGTTGAAGTTCGTTCGCTACGCTCACTCACCTTTGGGTTGGAGCTCGTTCGCTACGCTCACTCACCTTTAGGTTGGAGCTCGTTCGCTGCGCTCACTTGCCTTCAGGTTAGCTCGTTCGCTACGCTAACTCGCCTCCAGGTTGAAGTTCGTTCGCTACGCTCACTCACCTTTTGGTTGCAAATTAGCTGTTGTCATAAATGTAAAAGAAATAATAGTGCTGCACCCTGTTGGTAATCCTTGTAACTTTAATGCTATTGAACATCATAGAACAGAACCAACTTGTTTAATTGAAACAGCTGTTAAGATTCATTAATTCCATTTCTCATAAGGTTAACATGGGAAACTCCAGAGCCACTGGGGCGGAGCCCTTTTAAGAATTTCGAAACGGGAAATAGTTTACGTCCGATTCGCATACCTACAGAATTTACACACCAAATTTCATAACGATCGGTGAAGTCGTTCCGGAGGAGTTTGCAGACAAACACTGTGACACGAGAATTTTATATATTAGATATATGAATTTGAACGGATGGTGTTTTTGGCCTCTGGGGACCTCAAAACGAAAAAGAAATCGTCTAGGTCTTACCATGAGACCTACGGTAATAGCTTATTCCCTATATGGGAAATTCGCTAAAACTAATACTAAACTGTTATATTTTTGATAAAACTAATTACAATTATTAAAACTTTAAAAATATAATAGTAATACTGAACAAAAAGAAAAAAATTATCTGTAAATTCCTAAAACTAAGCTCAAATTACAAGACTAAATACCAGTCTGGTCTGTATCAGAACAGGATATAGACTTAACACCGTGGTACAACCTATCCTTCAAAACTATCAAGAAAAAATTCTTCAATGCTATAGTAAGACTTTTCCAATAATAATTTATGTAAGGTTTCGAAGACATTTTTTGATGAATTTTTGCTTATGATTTTTGATAGTTTGTTAAAAATTTTGATTGCCATGTAATTTGGACTATTTTCATACAGAGAAAGTCTATGGTGTGGATATTGAAATAAGTGTGAGTGACGTGTGAAATAGTTATGGTTAATTTTAAACTTATCAAAGCTGTCCTGATTATTGTAGAGTTACTTGACAATTTCTAAAATATATAAACCTGTTACTGTTAAAATTCCAAATTCTTTAAATAATGATCTACAACTTTTTCTTTTGGAAACTTTTGCCATTGTCCTCACCACTAATTTCTGTGCATTGAGAAGTTTTTTCGTTTTGGAATTGGATCCCCAAAGAACAATACCATTGAGTCTAGATTCCATGTAGGCGTAATATACTAGTTTACCAATATCAGTAGATGTTGTATCATTAACTACACTTAATGCAAAACGAAAAGAGTTGAGCTTTTTTGTTAAGAATTGTATATGGTCATTGTATATGGTCATTGTATATTATGGTCAGTTGTAAGTTTAATATTTTATCAGATAAAAAGTCAGAATTTTTACAATTTTTTACTTTAAAATGCATTATATGTGTTTTTGAATTATTCATTAGTAAACAATTTTTTGTGAACCAATCTTGCAGTTCTTCTATAGTTTTTTTAATGGAGATTTCCAATTGTTGAATATTTGAATTTTGAACTATAACGTTGGTGTCATCAGCATATAAGAAAATATCACCAGATATGTGAGAATCAATGTCATTGATAAATATCAGGAATAATAAAGGTCCCAGTATTGAACCCTGGGGAACTCCATGGATGACCTTTTCCCATCTTGATACAAATTTTCTCTTACTTTTTAAAATGACTGTCCGTTGTTTTCTATTATTTAAGTTAACTCCATCGTTTTGCAGGTTTCTATTACCTTTTCCAATTTTAGATCTTCTCTAAAAAGTTTTTCTTGGACATTTTTTGAACTTAATCCCAGTATTATCTGAGCTCTCAACATTTTTTCCTCCTGTTCTTCAAGTTTACATGGTTTGACTAAAATTTTTAGGTCAGAATAGAATTTATTAAATGGTTCATCTTGTTTCTGCTTTCTTTTGAAAAACTTATAAATATCCATGATTTCATTCCTTCTTGGCTTGCAATACTTCTCTAGTGTCTCTAATATCGTTTTTACTGTTTCTGGTTCATCTTGTTTGAAATCTTTATAAATTTTCAATGCTTATTTCCTAGTAGGGTTTTAAGCCTTGCTGCTTGTATAGAGTTAGGTTTCTTTTCGGTTTCAGTGGCTATAAAATATATCTCCACTTCTTCTTTAAATGTCCTAAAAATTTTCCTCCAAGTTGCCTTCAAGGCTTAGGATATCCGGTTTGTTAAATTCCATTTTCGTGTATATTCTTCTGATATTCTTCTTAATCAAATCTTTACCGACTGCGCCATGTTTAATTTTATAAAAAGTAAAAAGTATTTTTTTAACATTCAAGTTGTTTCTCTTTATTCCATAACTGTTTACAATCCAATATCATTGCTTAATTATTATTGACAACATCTGTTAAACAAATTATTTTAAACAAAGACTTGCAAGTTAATATGTAAGTAAATAATATACAAACAGTATGGATGCTCCCTTTACTACCATACATGCTAGGCTATATTATTTGAAGGTTTTTTGCTTGGAGCAGAAGACAGTACCTGGTTAAAATCTTCTCCAAACAATATTGTTTTTTCGCCCATTGGAACTTGTCACAGTACTTATTTAATGAACAAATATATTGCCTGTACGAACCTATTTTGTCTTTATTACCAGGTTGATTTCTAAGAGTGGCCGTTAAGGTTATTCCACTTCATACAAAATATTGATTAAACACTACAATAAATCTCAAATTATAAATGTTAGTAAATATACAAAAAAGTTTAGAATAAATCTTTAAAATATATTTTGAAATCAAAACAAAGCAGAAGCTTTCCATTTAATCTTGAATCGTGTATTATTTAGTCAATGTGGTTATTTCACGTTAAACATTCCTTCAACACAACAATAACCTTTAAATTAGTAGAAAACGTCATTTTTTCAGCCATTCTAAGTTCAATTTCTTTGATTTGAGCCATCTCTTATGATTCTACTACTTATCATACGTTTAACTATTTACTTAAAAAGTTTGCAAATAGCACAGTAAAATATTTGATTTCAACATTCTAAGACGTAACTAAAAAGTCTTAATTATCATAGGTAACGTTATCCCTGGTTTTATATAGTATACAGTACATTGCAGAATTGACTGGCAAATAAGTAATCCAAATGTAATATTGCTTACTGGCATAATGATAAATCACGATCAGCTGTATTGAAGTAAACAAAAGTCAACAGTAAATGGCTTCTAATGCTATTCTTATGGAGAATATTTTACGTTATATGCAATTTTGTGTTAAAATTTAGGAGATTTCTATATTCTTCCCGCCGTCACCTACCTTTAATTTGAGCCCTCTCCCGTCATTCTACGACTTCCCAGTCGCCCACAATTTTGACGCAAAGAATCGGCTTACGTAATTAATATATAGATAGATGATTACTTTTATTATAGCAAAATTGATAATGTCTACTTACTTCGTCAATATTTTGTTTCTTCACAGCAAGTTCTACATCAATGTTGTAATGGCTTCCTCGCAACCACTGTAAGGACTTTCTAGCATCTTCTTCATTGTTTTGTAGCAGGTAGTAAATAGGAGACTCTGGGATGCATATGAGTAAAAAAAAGTAAACTACTACTATTGCTAAACAAATTTCTGTCAGGGATACTACAGGTACCTGGGAAAGAAAAAAAACAGAAACTATTGTAATACGGGTCAGAGAGAGTAGATCTAATATTAATAATACTATACTACAAGTAAACAAGAGTTGTGTCTCTAAATCATTGTTGGTACTGTTTAATGAAAAGTAAAAATAGAACAAATTAGAACAAAATAGAACAGGTCATTGGAAAATCAGTTGGTTTTTATTAACAAGAACTGTGTTGATACCAGGCATTTACCCCTTGTTAATAAAAACATTTTTTGTTTAAATAGAGGTATTAAATTAAGTAAAGTATTATTAAGTATTAGTTGGTAATGTTCATATGTTAGTTATTAACATATGTTCTTAATTTTTATTGTTATTGTTTTTTATTTATGTTTTGATTCAGTTTGTCTTGAGTTCTGATGAAGATAGTTAAATGATATTACAATATTAAAAAATTAGTTTGATGAAATTTGTGTTACTTTATACAAGTAGAGTTACTAACATGGTGTCAGGTATGCAATTTTGAGAATATGAATAATATACAACCTCCTGAACTATTTGATTTTACTGAAAAACGTGATGCAACAGAAAACTGGAAGTTATTCAAATGCCATTGGAAGAATTAAGTTACTTTGGCAGAAGATTTCAGCTCAAAGTCAACCAACTTGTCGAATAAGAAGATTCGGCTTGCGCTATTCCTTTCAGTAAATAGGAGGTAAGGCTGTAAGATTAATAATTTAATAAACAAGTTATGCAATGAACCATCTGATGTGGATGAAATTATCTCAAGACTTGATGAATATTTTCAAAAAGCAATGAATGTTACTTACGAACGATACAATTTCAATAGTGCCAAACAAGATGCTCAAGAATCATGCAAGGATTACATTAGGTAACAAACATCATGAACTTGTTGGTAAATGTGAATTTGAAGCCTTGGCTAATCTTTCAAAAAAAGGAGATTGAGAAGCAGCTGATATGCGATCGTTTGGTTGCTGGGATCGCTAATGTTCGTTACGGAAACGGTTATTGGCTAAATCAGATTTGAGCTTAAACAAAGCCACACAGTTGTGTATTGCTGATGAGCACTCGGAGAGCTTAGCATTGAAAATTAATTCTAGGAATACAGAAGAAGATTTAGAAGAGAATAAAGACAGTAGTTTTAGAGTTGAAAAAGACACTAACATGCAGATTTGCAAATTTTGTGGAAAGAATCATATTTGGGGCGCCAAGAACTGTGCTGCATATGGAAAAGTCTGTAGTAAGTGTAAACAAAAGAATGCAAATGTGTGCAAGCAAAATATACGCAAAGTTTATCATGTTGATCGATGCGGCTAGTAGGCCCAAGGATGACACATCCACATATGAAGATCGTTCAAACTCGGATGATGACATATACCATGTCAAAGAAGAAATACTGAAGAAACGCTTATTCATTGATCCCCACTCTGCATGAAAGACAGTGAACCTTTTATCAAATGCCAGCTAGACAGTGGATCATCATGCAACGTCATTGGCTACGAGACGCTAAAGAAGTTAGTGGGAATCCCAAGATTGAAGGAGAGCAGTACAAGACTTACTTTCTATGGGGGTGAATCCAGTTTTCCCTTGGAAAAGTCCAGTTGAATGTTAAGTGGAAAAATAAGAAACACAAATTGATGTTTGAGGTCATCGAGACACCTCACAATCCACTACTCGGTGCTCAAGATTGTATCAACCTTGGTTTGATTTAATTTGATGAAATGGTCTATCAAATCCAAAGTTGTAAAGTCTCAGAGAAAATGCTATCTTCTTTTCCAGATATTGGAAATGGTTTAGGGTGTTTTGAAGGACAGTGTGAATTTAAGCTGGATACATCAGTACGTCCGATTGTCGTTCCTCCACGGCGATATCCTGTGGCTCTAAAGAAAGAAATACAAGATAAATAAAACGTTTGGAAGATCTGCAAGTGATAAAAAAAGTAACAGAGCCTACCGATTGGGTTAGTGCTATGGTAGTTGTGAAGAAACCAAACAAATTACGAATATGCATTGATCCTCATCAACTCAATAAAGCAATAAAACGCCCGAACTACCAAGCACTGACTATCGAAGAGATTGCTCCCCAGTTGAGTAAAGCCAAAATATTCAGCAAACTAGATCTCAAAGACGGATTTTGGCATGTAAAATTGACAGAAGATTCTAGTAAATTAACGACATTTTGGACACAGTATGGAAGATACCGATGGTTAAGACTACCTTTGATCAGCTCCAGAAGATTTCCAGCGGCGTGTGAATGAACAGTTTGAAGACCTGGAAGAGGTCATTGCGATAGCAGATAATGTTGTTGTATTTGGCAGTGGAGATACTGAAGAAGAAGCTCGCATTGACCATAACAATAATTTAAAATCACTATTTCAAAGGGCTCACGAGAAAAATGTTAAGTTTAACTTATCAAAATGTATGATTGGAATTAAGGAAATTAAATATATGAGTCATTTTGTCAGCGCAGACGGATTGAAGTCTGGCCCTGAAAAGATTTCAACCATAAGAAATATGAAGGCACCACAAAACAAAGAAGAACTGCAAAGATTTCTAGGATTCGTGAACTATTTAGGAAAATTTGTTCCTAATCTCTCAGATATATCAGCACCATTACGATCACTTTTGAAGGAAGGTAATCTGTGGATATGGGAAAAAACTCATGATGAAACATTTCAAAAGTTAGTCCATTTGGTAACATCATCTCCAACCTTAAAATACTTTGATATAGAAAAGCCAGCAACTGTGCAGTGTGATGCTAGCCAGTTTGGATTGGGAACTTCCTTGATGCAGGATGGCAAGCCAGTGGCATACATTTCCAGGACTCTCAGTAAGGCAGAATCTCGTCATATGCTCAAATTGAAAAAGAATGCTTGGCAGTAGTATATGCTCTTGAACGATTTGAACAGTACCTGTTTGGAAAACATGACATAACGGTCGAAACTGATCATAAGCCATTAGAGGCCATCTTCAAAAAACCATTGATTTCGGCCCCAAAGCGGTTGCAGAGAATGCTTCTCGGACTGCAAAGATTTAATTTCAATATAATATATAGACCAGGAAGAACAATGTTCATTCCAGACTTTTTGTCTCGAACACCCATTACAGGGATTAAATCGCATGAAGATAAGAGTATTCAAATCTTTTCAACAGACAGTCTGAAGTGTTTTGAAAACTCCAGTTCAAGAATGTACTTAAACGTGACGGACAAAAGACTAGACCAGATCAAGAATATCAACAAATTAGATCCAACTATGAAAAGACTAATTGATACGATATACAATGGATGGCTTATAAGTAGAAAGCAACTATCCGAGGATCTCAGACAATACTGGCCATTTCGTGATGAACTAAGTGTAGAGGATGGGGTCATTCTGAAAGGAGAACGAATTGTGATTCCAGTTTCATTACGAAAAGAATTAACTCAAATAATACATTCCTCTCATCAGGGATCAGATGCATGTATCAGACGTGCACGAGATGTGTTTTTCTGGCCCTGTTTGAGTAGAGACATAAAAAATGATATAAGTTCCTGCAAGATATGCAAGATGTATGCACCAGATCAACGAAGAGAACCTTTGATACTTGAGAAAACTCCAGAGAGACCCTGGCAAAAAGTCGCTATTGATTTTGCCCAGGAAGATTCAGTTCAGAATTTAATTGTTTGAGATTATTTTTCATCATTTTTTTAGTGAAAAAGGTAACATAATGCACAAGTGAAATCCTGATAACATTTTGCAAAGAACTGTTTGCAAGGTATGGAATACCAGAGGTGGTAGTTTCAGATAGTGGAACGCCACTCATGGCTCAAAGTTTTCACGATTTCGCTAAAAATTGGAATTTCAAGATAGTTTTGACCCCTCCGTACCATCACCAAGCAAACAGTAAAGCAGAGTCGGCAGTAAAAATATTCAAGAATCTTTTGAAGAAATCACGTCAAGATGGAGTGGACTTCCAACAAGCGTTATTAGAACTCAGTGTAATGGTCAAATTTTATTGGGGGGGGGGTTCGTTTTAATTATTTAAAGACCACGAAGTGTTAGAGCGCGCTCGACAACAATAATCGGAAATAAACATGTCCAGTTGTCTACTTGTCAAGGTTCCTAGTTCGTGACTTGACCGCCGCAACCTTGGGGCGCTGCCGTAGACGAGGTGGGGAGAAGCCGAGACCAATGGACAGTGGCCAGTTCTTGGGGCAGTCGATGGCGAGCGCTTGTTCGCCAAACACCTTTCGAGTAGGCAGTCAGCGGCGAGCGTTAGGTTCGCGCACACCAACCCTCCTTAGGCTGTGCGAGCGAACATAAAGTATCCGGACGAAGGCGTGCGAAACATAGAGGCGAATCAGGAAGTATCGTGATACGTAAGTACACTGTTTATAACTACCGGTAGCGTATACGTTATACCCCTACTCGTATCCACTTTAGTGAGGGAAATTACGTTATTTATTAGGCTATTCTAGGCCGTTTATCGTAGTTTAACGACCGACGCTCCGAGTGTAGCGTCGCAGTCACCTACGCCTGCTTTTAGTAATCCAAAGCGGTTTTGTTTTGTTTTAATCAAGAGTTTTTATTTATTTTCCTTAAAGCCAAGAAGAATTGGCATATGCGCCTTCTACGTTTTATTTTATTTCATTATTTACTTATTGCGAGTTAGCGTCGTTTTCTTTTAATTCCGAGAAGATTATTTTTAGTTTTATTTTGAGAAGTGAGACCTTTCGTTAAGCCTAGGAGCTGGTTATTTATTTTTATTTCCTAATCTTCGCTTATTTATCTGTCGGCCCCTAGTAGTTAACTTCGACTTGGCCTTGTCAGCGCGTCGCTGTGCTGACACCAAGTTATAGGAGTAACTATAGTTAGTGTATTCCTTAATAGCAACTCGTGTACGGTGCGTCGACGTGCCGAGGTACACAGTGTGTACTTGTGTACTAGCAGATCGGCGCAACAGTAACATCTACGAAGATCGAGAAGCGGTGAGCGAGCGACGAGGACTGGTAGCGAGACCCTGGACATCTCAAGCTGTCCGAGCAAATCGGAGGTAAGTTTACGATAGGTGCCCTACCCGACATAAACACCTCACATCAGGAACACCCCTGTGCAAGGAATTGGCTTTAGCCCCGCTCAACTCCTCATGAACCGAAGAACACAAAGCAAACTGCCAATAAACAAGAGCTTATTGAAGCCACAAGTTCCACAAAATGCCCAAAATCTATGGGAACGGAAAAAGAGTCAATACCAAAGTCAGTATGACCATGGAACCACAGAGCTGCCACCATTATCGATTGGCCAAAGCGTGTGGTTAAAGAAACAACCCCAACTGAAGAAAGCGACATGGCTTGAGGGCAAAGTTGTTCGAAAGGAAGGGAGGAGAAAGTACATTGTGCGTGTGGAAGGAAAGAATTACATTAGAAACAGACACTTTTTAAGAACTTAAAACATTTTAGAAAAAGGAAGATGTTGGTAATGTTCATATGTTAGTTATTAACATATGTTCTTAATTTTTATTATTATTGTTTTTTATTTATGTTTTGATTCAGTTTGTCTTGAGTTCTGATGAAGATAGTTTTATGATATTACAATATTAAATTAGTTTGATGAAATTTGTGTCACTTTATACAAGTATCAATTATCAATTATCAATTATTTTAGATGGGGTGCGTATTTTAGTCCAAATATGAGTGAAGGATGAGTGTAGGGTGAGTGGCGCGATCTTGTAGTCTTGTTAGTGACTAAGGCCGACATGTTCCTTAGACACAGCTGTTAATTAATAGCCCATACAGCTAATAGCAACTAAGGGACCTACAGTTTATAGTGGAATCCGAACCACATTTTTTCCTTGTAATTTATGAATTGGTCTAATTATCAGGATAACAGTAGAGTTAACAACAGTATAATAAATTAACTAGAGGTATAATAGATTGTAAGATGGTTGAAACAAAACAAAGTACACAATACTAAATCAAATAACATTAGAGAGTCGATTGTCCAAAACAATTGGGGATTAGGAGATGTTTCAAAACGGAATTTTTGGATAGTCGGTCATTGACACTCAAAATTAAATACAGTAAACTTCCTCTTTTCCGGACTCCTCGGGACCGAGACCAGTCCGGATAACGGTTTTCCTGGTTGATCCGACGTCCCTAAAAACTCGTTAAAAGGGACTGTTTTTGTGATATTCAACTTAAATTTAGGAGAACATTGTATTTAGACACGTGATCACTGGTCTCAAATCTTTCCCATGAGAACAGTCGTTTCAGTACCACCCACTTCCTGTCGATTAAACTAATGTGCTGATAAACATTTTCCGGTTAAAGAGATGTCATTTTTGCCGAGTGTAGTTCGTTTAAACCGATGTCCAGTTAAAAGGTATCAGGATAAGAGGGAGTCTACTGTACTATATTTTAACTTTCGTTGCTAACAATGAAACACATCTTTATAAGTTTTTTTATTTGTTTTCATTGTCGTCTGCAAAAGTAGCAACACCCGTGAGCATATCTTACGGTCTCGGCGACACCCCAGATCGTCACTCGCAGTTGCGGCAACACTCCTGACCGTCTCTTGCCATCGCTACAACACCACTGACCATCTCTCGCAGTTGCGGCAACACCCCTGTTCGTCTCTTGCCATCGCTACAACACCACTGACTATCTCTCGCAGTTGCGGCAACACCCCTGTTCGTCTCTTGCCATCGCTACAACACCACTGACTATCTCTCGCAGTTGCGGCACCACCCCTGATCGTCTCTTGCCATCGCTACAACACCACTGACTATCTCTCGCAGTTGCGGCACCACCCCTGATCGTCTCTTGTCATCGCTACAACACCACTGACCATCTCTCGCAGTTGCGGCAACACCCCTGATCGTCTCTTGTCATCGCTACAACACCACTGACCATCTCTCGCAGTTGCGGCAACACTCCTGATCGTCTCTTGTCATCGCTACAACACCACTGACCATCTCTCGCAGTTGCGGCAACACCCCTGACCGTCTCTTGCCATCGCTACAACACCACTGACCATCTCTTGCAGTTGCGGCAACACTCCTGACCATCTCTCGCAATCACTACAACAATGCTGATCGTCACTCACGACAACGCTGATCATCTCTCGCATTCGTGGCAACACCGGTATTAATTGATATTTTACTGTAAACTTATTACTTGGTCTAGGCAGGGACGAGGCTGAGCATATCATCACAGCTGATTACAAACACAGACACTCCTGACTCGACATGACACCTGACCATTGTACTCTGACAACTTGTTCTCCCCCGCCCGCCCCCCCACCTATCCAGACACACTTTGACAGCTGTAGAATTCCTGTTGCTAATACAGTAGGCAACTATTATTTTTTATTTTAACTGAATCATGCCACCTAATATTTTTTCACATAGGTAGTTATTTATCTCACCATTTGTTCTTGTAACTCCATTTAGATAATATTTTCAACTCATTTCTGTTATTTATTTTTTGTATTTAATCAAATAATGTTATGTTTGGAAGCAACTACAGTTGACGCACAGGCTTTCTGCCCATGTCGGCTTATTCCCTAAAAATATGTACGCTTTGTTAAACATGGATGTAATACCAAAGGTTAACTTAATTTTTTCTTTTACATATTTGTGTACAATTTCTGTAAATATTTTGTTGGAATAGAGATATAATTCATTCATTCATTCACTTACCAAGCTTCCAACAATATAAGTGAACAGTATGCCTGAAGCGTTCATAACCTGGAGGAAGGTACCCAGAGTGCCTCTAATTTGAGTCTCCGCTATTTCAGCCGTGTAGAGAGGAACAATAATAAAATATCCTCCGACACACATTCCTGTCATAATCCTTCCAATATACATAGTTTTCACCTAAAAGACAAATTACACAATATTAATCATAAACATTTCCTTTAAAACTACAGTTTTGCAAAAAATAACTCTTTAATTAACTAGGTGGCGTTCACAGAGGCATCCATAAAATTGAGCGGAGTCATCAGGGTTCTATAATTGTTATTTACCTTCACCATCGAGCTTCAAAATTATTTTTACCTACAATTTTAAGTGAAGAGAACATTTGTGTAAAGATAAATATTGGTGAAATTAGATTAGCTACACGTTGTTTCGTAATAAAGGGGAGTTGAAAACACAGAGATGTAATTTCAGGCATTTTCGGAGACCTGCATTTACATTTTAATTTTAAACCCTCTGGGTTAGTTATATCAACTTATTCTAAAACAGAACTCAGTACCTTATTGTACAGTTCTAGCTAGTTATAACCTAGAAATCAACCCTTTACAGTTTTGGATTCTAGAAATTTTGCTACTAACTGCATAGGAGGGCTTTATGTGATGGTGAGTATATAAATGTAACCACACAATATATTATCCTTACAAAAGTTATATTAACATTCACATTTGCATTGGTTCAAGCGTTTAAACCATAACCCATGTGTTGATAATTGACACGTTAATAATTAGTATAATCAAATCGGAAGGTGATCGAAGACGAAGATTATGCCGTCGAGTTTTGGCTAAAATTGTTGTGCTTCCTAGTCGTCCTTGTTGATCTTGACAAGATCGAACTATTTGCTACGGATGATATGGATGATATGTAAATTTTGTAAACGTGTATGATTTGCATCACTTTTTGATAAAAGCTAATACTAAAAATTCAGTTATTCTCAAGTAAGCCAATCATACAAAATATAAACTAAGACACTATTACTATACAAAGCTGTATGTATTACCATGTAAACACCTAAACTTTGTTCACATTAAAACACATGTTTCTGTTCTTAAAAACTCCACAATATTCATATACTAACTTGAGGACCTATGCTGCTCCGCAGCGTTGAAATAAATATCATATCCGAGAAATAATTAAATTTATGATATTTGATTGAGTAAAGTATCTGGGAACTTAACTGATTCAAACTATCAATAGCTCAAATTAAAGCCTATAACTTACTGATTATTTTGAGTCTAAAGCATGTAAAAAACATAAACAATACTGAAGCTACTGTAATTGATTTTTAATCATAGAATCCCCTTTTAAAATATAATTTACATGTTTATTGTTCACCTGGCGTTTCCTTGAAACTTCTGTAATTTGAATAACTAATAGCTTAAATGAAAGCAGGTATTTCACTGAAGGTAAAATATAACCAAAATATATAGGATTGTATAGTTATAACTAGTGAAATACATCTCAAATTGAAGTAAGAATTTGAAAATAATTCAAATTTTTGCTTTTTGATCGACTCATACAGTGGATAAATATATGTCAATACTTGATATGAAATCTTCTTCGTACATACCTTCAATTTGGGACCTCAATCATAAAAATCGGTTGGGTAGAAAAGCCAAACAAATTAGAAAAAGAAAAACCAAATTTAACTCCCATAATAAATACATGGGGAGCAAATAACGTTAACGTATAAGCCAAGTGGGTCTGTAGATAAATATATAGAGACCTCAATCATGAAAATAGGTCGCGTAGAAGAGCCAAAGGAACCCGGAAAAGAAAACCAAATTTAGCTCCCATAAGAAATACATGGGGAGTATATTTCGTTTACGTATAAGCCGAGTGGGACTGGACTGTAGATAAATATATGCAGATGCTTGATGGGAAATATGTGCGTGCATACCTCCAATTTGAGACCTCAATCATGAAAATCGATCGGGTAGAAGAGTCAAACGGACCCAGAAAAGAAAAACCAAATTTAACTCTCATAAGAAATACATGGGGAGCGAATTTCGTTTACGTACAAGCCGAGTGGGACTAGACAATAGACAATAGACAATATTCTTTATTTACATATTCGTGGGAGAATAGTACAGGCGTCAAGACAAAAGATTTTAGATTGTCAAAGTTATACAATGCTCAAGATTTTTTTTTTACATAGTTATGTAATGTGATAACACAAAGTTAACATTTTGATGTCCAGAGATAGCTCTCGTCGGCGGTGGCGCTGTTTCAGGTGTTCAGGAATTCTGATTCTGAGTAGTAGGGTCTTTCTTGGAGCCATTCCGTTAGCTGGTTCTTGAAACGTTGGGGTGGCTGGTTTCTTAGATGGTCGGTTGTAGGTTTTTGAAGAAGAGCGCTCCTTTGTATGAAGGTTTCTTCTCGAAAAGCGTTAGGCGGTGTAGTGGGAGGGTGAAATTTGTGGCATGTCTTGTGTTGTATGTATGGAGTTCATGATGTCTTAACTGTTGTGAGGTGACTGCATGCAGAATGGTTTCTCGAATGTAGAGTGAGGTTGCTGTGAGGATTTTTAGTTGTTTAAAAGATTCCAGGCTGCTTTCTTGGTAGTGTAGTCCTGCTAGGCATCTGATTGCTCTTTTTTGTAGAGTAAGAATCTTTTCCATATTGGATGCTGATGTTCCTCCCCATGTCACTATTCCATATCTTAAGTGGGTTTCAAAAAGAGCAAAGTAGGCAACTTTAGCTATCTCCAGGCCACATATTTGTTTAAGTCTTCGAATTACGCGGGTACCTGATGAGAGTTTCTTGCCAAGTTGGTCGATGTGTTGCTTCCATGACAATTTTGAGTCAATTGTGATACCTAGATATTTGGTTATGTTGCTTGCTTCCAGGCCGGGGAGAGGTGCTAAGTTTGTACTTTTATTTTTTGTGTTAAAAATAATTTTTACTGTTTTGTTTTCATTTAAGACTAGATCATTGTTTATACAGTAGTGTTTAGCTTGGTTGAGGCATGCAATCATATTTGTTTCAAGCATTTCAGTAGCTTTATCAGAGACGGTAAGCACGGTATCGTCTGCGTACATTATAGTGGAGCAGGCATCATCCATGCAGTTTGGCATGTCATTCGTGAGGAGGAGGAAGAGCACTGGCCCCAGTACAGACCCTTGTGGAACCCCTCTTTTTACACCAGTAGTTGGAGATTGGATTTTGTAGTTTATGTTATTTTGGGTGTGATTTATTTCAACCAGTTGCTTTCTTCCCTTGAGATAGCATTTAAACCATTCTGCTTCTTTGCCTCCTACTCCTAGGGCTCTTAGCTTTTGTAGTAGCTGGTCGTGATTGAGACAATCAAAGGCTTTGCTAAAGTCAAGAAACAGGCTAGTCACTGAGCATCCTTCCTCCAATTGGTCTATGACATGTTCTGTCAACTGTATCAGGGCTGTTGTTGTTGATCTACCCCTGAGGAATCCATGCTGTTTATTCGAGAGTAGGCTATGCCGTTTGAGATGGCTTAGGAGTCTAGCAAGTACAATTTTTTCGATTATTTTTGAAAATGTTGGGATCAGGGATATTGGCCTATAGCTGCTAGGTACACTTCGTGGCCCTTTTTTATATTTTGGGTATATTTTGGCGGTCTTTAGAGCAGTTGGAAAAATTCCTTGCTGTAGGTTTTATTTATTATAATTGTGAATGGTATTGTCAGTTCTTCTTTACATCTTTTAACCAGTTTTGAAGATAATTCATCGACACCAGAAGAGGTTTTAGGTTTTAAGGGGTCTATGGTCTTTTTTACTTCTTCAAAAGTTGTTAAATGGAATTCTAACTGCTCATTTGTGGCTGGGGCTAGGTCAGGGTATGTGGGGTTGGTGTTGCTATTGTTTGTTTGGAGTGTGTTTTCTGCTATTGTTGCAAAATATAGGTTTAAGGAGTTTGCTATTTCATGTGGGTCCAAGGTCGTTTTTCCATTTAGCTGAAGGCTGAGCTGATGGTTTGTATCAGTGGTTGCCTTTCTTTCATTATTTATTGTCTGCCACATTGCTTTTGATTTATTTTCTGCTTCATTAATGTATGCTACAGTTTGTTCTCGTCTCAGTTGTTTCAGTCTCAGGTTATATTCTCTCTTTCTTTCCGCTGTTTGCGCTTTGTGCTCTGTCAGGCCAGTAAGTTGTTCTATTTCTAGTGCACTGATGTACACATTTTTCAGTAGGTTGCACTCGTCATCCCAGACCTGTCTTTTTTTATTTTGTTTTCTTTTGAGTAGTTTCAGTGGGCAGGTTTCATTCAGTATAAGCTGAAGTGTACTGTGGAAAGAGTTGTAGGCAAGGTTGACGTCCTCTTCCATTAGAATCTCATCCCATTTTTGTGTTTGTAGTTTCTCCTTAAACAGTGTTAATTCTCTATTGGTGAATAGTCTGGACTGTAGATTTATATATATGTATATACGTATTTGACGATGCTTGATGTGAAATCGGTGCTTGCATTCAATTTGAGACATCAAGCATGAAAATCGGTCGGGTAGAAGAGCCAAAAAAACCCGGGAAAGAAAACCCAATTTTTAAATCATATACTAATTCACAAACCAATTCATCGCTAATATAGGGGTTACCAAAATATTACATAAGTTTTCCCCAAGTAAGCCTAGGACAAGTCTTCAAACCCAACTTCAACGGTTAATTTAGTTGGATGGACTCAAAGCAAACATGTTTGTTTTATTATTCAAAACTGTCAATAAACGTCCAAACAAAGATGTTAAGGCTATTAGTAGATTGTATTTGTATTGTAGATTCATTTGATTATATTATTTATGATCCATAACGTTTCTGTTCTAATATCCGTGGAATGATGCTACCAGCTATTTCTTGATCTACTTCATTCAAAAGTCACCAGCTGATCTTATGCCTTTGTTTATGTGTCAAATACTGCTTCCATAAGGATTACTTTTTCTTACTTCATCATCATTACTTTTTCTAAGTACAGAGCCCATTGCAAACCCTTGTTTATTCAGGAAAAAATACTCACTGTTTTTAATTTATTTATTTATGTGTGTCATGTTTATGTAAAAGTTAATATTAATGCTGTAGCCTCGAGATCACATTCACATAGTTATTTTACTAGACATAGGAATAATTTAGAGTTACCTTTAGTCAGGCTAACAAAGTCACAAGAATCTTTTTCTTATATAGGGTTAAAGATGTTTAATCGTTTGCCAGCTGAGGCACACTGTGTTGATATCTTAAGTTAAAAGTAAACTTTTTTGCTGGTTATTAAATCGCCCTTTTTATAGTTTAAGTGAATTTTTCATGTCTGACATTGATATTAGTTTTTAGTTTCTGACTGATAGGCCTTAAATATGTGTAACTTACTTTGTTGTTTAAATTATTTAAAGTAGCCTAAGTTATTGAATGTTATAGGCCCTAATTGATATGCTAACCACTGGATATTTTATCCTTGCAGATTACTGAGACTTCTTAGCCTAAGTTACTCTCATATTGACCTCAACTATACAAAATGTTCTTTTTGTAATTTGTTGTAATAAATTCTTGATTCTTGATTACATTGAAACTTTGAGGGCCCGTGGGGCGGATTCCTAAGAGATTTGGTTGACACCATATAGATGTTGGCACTCACCAATATGGTCTTTATCACCATGCAAAATTTAAAAACGATTGCTTCAACCGTCTAGGAGGAGTTTGCGTATTACGAAATGCAAAGAGTCGACGTATAAGAGCTTCGTTTGCTCCGCTCAAAAAAGGTTCAAATACCTGCTATTAAGCAATGCATTAAATTGTTGTCTTAACTAGTTTTGACTCCTATGTGGAGCCATCATCAGGTGGTACACCGGACGTTTACTCTCTTTACATGAAGAGCATCATGTTTAACACGTAAAAATAAGTAAACATTAAAACACGATACACACACGGACACGAAAAACATTCATGGTAACAGATCAGTTATGACAACAACAGACGACGCTAGCCAGTCGGAGTTTGAGTCCAGACTGCGGGTGGTCAGTGCAATGGTGTATATCTGTTATATTATCCCCTCAGGTTGCGTCATATTTCCCCTCTCCAGTATCCTGATGGCAGTGTCATAAGTAAAATTAGACAAAAACGAGAGTTGATCATTTAACACATTTAGGTGGTTGGATTTTACTTTCTTACATATCTCAAACTCCTCCAAGGTGTTTAATTTAAATCTGTCTTTAGAAAAATGAAAAATATTCATGTTACTATTAATGTTAATATGGCCTTCGGAAATTAAATGTTTGGCAAAAGATGAAGTTTGGTGGGCTGCTGACGCTTTTGGAAGATGTTCCTTGAAATGTTTTGTAAAGGAGCAAATGAAGTATTTAGTTTTTGGCCGATGAAGTATTTAGTTAATCCGTACAATTATTCTTTTACACGCTAGATCTATCCAAAGGTTGCTGCTGATGATGGCTCCACATAGGAGTTGAAACTACTTGCGGCTGCAACTTAAATGGATTGCAATAGCAGGTATTTTGAACCTTATTGTTTGGCAATCAGCAGTCTAGCATCTACAATGAAGTAACTATTTGAGAGTAAAACAAATCCCATGTAACCAAGCTTTTTATTTATTTTAAAGTAAAATTGTTCAAACCCTTCCTTGAAAAAGGATTGACCATTAGAGTCCAAACAAAACATGCTGATTCTGTGGAATTATAAAAATAAAATTAATATTTTGGGAAACAACTTGAATAAGACAGGGTAAATTGAATTTATCAACTATAGTTCGGCCGCTTAGAAAGCGACCTCCTCCAGCATTGGTTTAGCATTAGCGCGCAGGTCGTTTTCGAAGTGGCCGAACTATAGTAATTTTCAGCTGTGGAGATGGTTTACTTATTAAACTAAACTAAACATTTGTTATGATCCAGCATTTTTCTAGATAATAGTAATTCAATTTTCGATGCATATGAGTCTAGCGTTACCTGTTCCTATTTTATGCATTGTATTTTTCTGAAAACATAGTTTCATGTCTACACTACAAAACAATTGAGGGTAATTTATCAGTGGGGTTCGAAAGATGATATGTTATTCAGCTTCTAGAATAAATGGTCTGTAATGGATGTTCATTTAGTTTGGTATTTATTTCTACACTTACGCTGTGGGCTACTGCTACCAAGGTGTAACCTAAAGCTGCAGGAAAACACATCGCCATCATCATCCTTTTACGTCCAAACTTGCTCATAATGTAACCTAAACAAGGTGCGGCAAAGAAGTTTCCTATGGCAACTGCTGACCCAATCCACGCAAACTCATAAGTAGTTATGGAAAAGCCATATTCTTGCTCATGTACCAAGGGGTACTGTGACGTTGAAGTCCATCCTCGACTGCTACCAACAATGAATCCTCCAAGGTTAGCTGTAAATAGTGTTACCAGATAATAAACAAAATGGGACCTATATAAAAATGTCCAACACTGTTATCAAAATAAAGAAAATACTACATATTTAAAGGCTGACATGAACTTGAAACCTAGACCTATAACAGTGCTTCCAAACCTGTGGTAGACGGAGGCCACTGTGGTGGTAGATGACGTTTAAAGTACGAATCTTACATCGGTAATGTTTGGGCTGAAGCGTCAGCACATTGGTTCACGGCCCAATGGTATCTTAAGTATAGTTAACCAGACGCTTGAACGAGAGCAAGATTATTTTGTTAGTTTAGCGCAATAAAACCAAGTGACTCACTTAAAAAGGCACTCATGTGAGCGAAATAAAAACTCTTGCTTATCGCTTTACTTAGTATCCAATTGAGGAAACTCAGACTTCTCAGAAAATGTTTATTCTCGAGACAGGGAAAGGTTGGTTTGTTTGGCAAAATAAATCATACGCTCATTCCATCCATAGTATTATTACCAAACCAAGTGCCTAAATAGTATGCAAAATATTTTTGAATTGTGAGTACGCCAGGGAAAAGGTTTGGAAATACTTCCCTATTATATTGGTTTTTAAAGATTGGATGTTTTGTAAAATTTGTTTTCATGCAATAAAATGTGCTGGTAAGTCTTTTGTATAAAATGATTTGCCTAGCTTCATTGGTCCATCAAGTTAAATCTTTTACAGTTTAACCAGTAGTTTTGTTTTAGTTAATCCATCCCTAAAGTTTGCTTGCTTCTGTGGATCCCCATAGCTAGATTTTAGCTACACATTATTTTAAGTATCTCTATAGCACACTAAATATTTTATTTAGAAATAAGGCAAAATTCTCAAGGGAAGCTAAATTAATTCCTAGAACCATTATCATGCCAGTAAACTTTAAAATGCTCATTAGAATTTCTCCATGAGTTATTTTAATATGTATATTTATTTCTACACTTACCTATGAGAGCAGCTAGAAATTGAGGAAGTCTAGAAGCAATTTGTTGTTGATCATTATTCCTTTCCAATGTAACCATTTCCAATGCAGACGCCATAATAAATATACACTTTTGATGGATTAAATGGCAAGAACAAATTATTATTTCATGTTCATCATCACACAGGGAACATTCTATAAGTTTAAGGCACTGATGAAAGAAATATTATTACATTTACTTCTTCACCGTTTAATTATGAATGCATTGTAAGGAAGATCTTATCATATTTTACTTTATCAGAAATGTTTGTTCAAAAGATAACTATGTTGAAGGTAGTTGGTCACATTATCTAGACTGCGTATAATTTTTATACAGGTGTAAGCATTTACTTTTATGTGTCATAATATACAATGTATATGCGGACATTTAATGTGTGGTCGAGGTGATTAATAAATATGTTTCAGTGTTTTGTGTTCTTAACTCCCTCCAGAGATCTGCAGCAACCAATTCATTTTCCTTGCAATCACAGGTTGTAATACCGACTCTGCATTTCATGGAATAGGCAAAATACCCCCACCTAACCTGCAGATTAAGTGAGTTTCCATTTCCCTGATTTGATTTTAAATTAAATCTATTTCAATAACATTAGGTTCAGTGGCGTCATTTCACCAAATCCTTGGGGGGGCAAACACTGGGGGGAATGGAATATACCCCTCAGCAAACAGGGGGGGGGGGTTCGGGGCCCCCCGGAAAATTTGGCAGTTTTGAAACAAGAAAGAGGGGTTTAAGCTTATTTTAATTGGAAAAAGCACTGCGAAAAAAAAAATTATGAGTACAATTTATTTAAATTGAGGCAGAAAATTAATGAAACTAACAATTATTGAATAACATTTTTTTTTGTTATTAGATTTATGACCAAATTCTTTTGTACAACATTTAGACTTACAGTATAGCAATTAATACGGTTGTATTCATAGCCTATAGTTTATAACAGTTTAATTTGGTTTTTAAATAAAACACAAGTATTTAAGTACGTAAAAGCAAATCAAATTTTACTATCAATAAAATAATTTGACACAATTAATTTGAATGTGCTACTGAGACACTAAAAAATAGTATTTTTGTTTCAAATTACTGTAGAAGAATAGGCAGATTTTTGTCTGCCGTGCTTTTTAGGATTTGACAGGAGAAAATATTTGTATATTAGCTAGTACAGCATTTTTTTCTCTAGTCCAGGAACCAGGGGGGGGGGACAAATGCCCCCCCCCTGCCACCCCCCCAAATGACGCCCCTGATTAGGTTTCATGAGTACCTAGGTTTGCTGCTAGAGGGAGAGTAATAAAGTGAGATTTTATTAATATATTAATAGCTTAGTTTAAATTTAAATTAAATAAATTTGCCATGTTTCATTAAAATATAATCACAAATAAGCAAAGCAAACTAAAACAGTTTATGTACTCTCCGTAATAATAACATGGGAATTTTAAATGTCATTATATTAATAAAATTAGAGTTTTATAAGTCACCTCAATTTAAGGAATTTATTATTGCCAGAATATAGGGTTCGTAACCTCTGCTTAACGAATTGTCAGCGTCTTTCTCTTGATTTAACGACCCCCTATCCCTCCCTTTTGAAACATCATAGATCCTTTGATGAAAATGAAATGGAAACAACGCTTATGCCAACAATCGTCTGCTCAGTCTGTCTGCTGTGCGCTATGTTACAACAGATTTCAGATACAACAGCTGGGGAATCAAGGCTCTGATTGGGCAACAAGTAGGCTTAAATAGTGGCAACTTGTTGAATTTGTGTATGAATTGAAGAGAAACCTAATAAATGACAGAAGAACAAAGAAAAAGAATAACAAGATTGTTCTCGTTACATTATTTTTTTCTAACAAAGAAAAATAATAACAAGATTGTCCTCGTTACATTCTTTTATTGAACAAAGAAAAAAATAACAAGATTGTTCTTGTTACATTCTTTTAGCAAATTTCCCTATAGGGAAGTAGCTATTACCATAGGTGGCACGGTAGGACCTAGACCCGGGACCGATTTACTTTTTCATTTTGATGTCCTCAGAGGCCAAAAACACCATTCGTTCAAATTTTTATATATGTATATATATATAGATTTATGTATCTAATATACAGGGTGATTTGTACTCAGTGTGACAAAATTTTTTGGTGTAAGTACAAAGTAAATGGAGTGTGATGATGCATATCAAATGTTCCAAGTCTAAAAATTAGCTTCACAAAAAATTATTTTATGTTTTTCAAAAATAACCATGCTTTTAAACTTAAATCAGCGATTTCTCAATTACCTGTATATGGATTTGAGTAAATAAAGTCATTTTCGTGTTCTACGTTAAATTTTGAACAAGAATAATAGAAAATAACAGAGGTTCAGTTGTAAAAACTCCATTGTAAATAGATTCAAAGATAGAAATTAAGATGTCTGATAAAAATTTTAAAAACAATGGTCTATTGCATTTTTCACACCCTGTATACAAGAAAGTGTCGGAATATGTTAAAAACTGCGCCATTTTATAAGCTTTCCAACCATATGCTACACTATTGAGGTTTAGATATTTTTTTGTTTGTTATAGTGGTTTGATTATCACAAAACAGGGAACTTTTTACTGTTTTTACTGTTCAAGCTGAAACAAAAATACAACTTTTGCTTAATACATGCCCACTTTCTATGTTTTAAATGTTAAAGACAACATGCTTTGTAGTCTTCAAACCACTAAAGCGTACATAAGCAGACATAAAACTCAATGGTGTAGCATATGGTTGGAAAGCTTATAAAATGGCGCAGTTTTTAACATATTCCGACACTTTCTTGTATACAGGGTGTGAAAAATGCAATAGACCATTGTTTTTAAAATTTTTATCAGACATCTTAATTTCTATCTTTGAATCTATTTACAATGGAGTTTTTACAACTGAACCTCCGTTATTTTCTATTATTCTTGTTCAAAATTTAACGTAGAACACGAAAATGACTTTATTTACTCAAATCCATATACAGGTAATTGAGAAATCGCTGTATTAAGTTTAAAAGCATGGTTATTTTTGAAAAACATAAAATAATTTTTTGTGAAGCTAATTTTTAGACTTGGAACATTTGATATGCATCATCACACTCCATTTACTTTGTACTTACACCAAAAAAATTTTGTCACACTGAGTACAAATCACCCTGTATAAAATTCTCGTGTCACAGTGTTTGTCTGCAAACTCCTCCGGAACGACTTCACCGATCGTTATGAAATTTGGTGTGTAAATTCTGTACGTATGCGAATCGGACGTAAACTATTTCCCGTTTCGAAATTCTTAAAAGGGCTCCGCCCCAGTGGCTCTGGAGTTTCCCATGTTAACCTTATGAGAAATGGAATTAATGAATCTTAACAGCTGTTTCAATTAAACAAGTTGGTTCTGTTCTATGATGTTCAATAGCATTAAAGTTACAAGGATTACCAACAGGGTGCAGCACTATTATTTCTTTTACATTTATGACAACAGCTAATTTGCAACCAAAAGGTGAGTGAGCGTAGCGAACGAACTTCAACCTGGAGGCGAGTTAGCGTAGCGAACGAGCTAACCTGAAGGCAAGTGAGCGCAGCGAACGAGCTCCAACCTAAAGGTGAGTGAGCGTAGCGAACGAGCTCCAACCCAAAGGTGAGTGAGCGTAGCGAACGAACTTCAACCAGGACGTGATTGAGCGATGCGAACGAGATCATCTTGAAAATTAAACGTAACGGTACTTTCTTTCCATCGGTCTGTCTTAGGGGAAACCTATAACTTAGGCGATACGAAGTTCGCCGGGTCAGCTAGTATATATATATATATATATATACGTCCGTGAACGATGAGATAACTTGAGTAATTTTTGTCCGATTTTGATGAAATTTGGTTTAAAGGTGTAAAGCGGGATAAACTTGAATGAGTTTGCGAACCAGCATGATCGGACCATGGGAACGGGGCTTTACAAGGGGTTTTATGGGGTAAAAATTGGTTTTTCTCACTTTTGACCCCCAAAACACAAAATTTCCCAATTTCTCTTTAGACATTTTTAAAGAGCTTAAAAAAACAAATAATTTAGTATATAAAAGTATTTTTGTTCGGTTATTAGTAACGGAGAAAATTTAAAAAATTGTAAATTTAAAATTCCCATGTTATTCTTATGGAGAATATTGTCCAATGTTGTAGTTTGCTTGTTTATGGATATATTTTGATCAAACTTGGCAAATTTATTTATTTTGTACTAAGCTATCAAAATTTTACTAAAAAACACACTTTATTAGTTTCCTTGTAGCAGCAAACCTAGGTACTCGGTAAACCTAATGTTATTAAAATATATTTAATTGAAAATCAATTCAGACAAATGGAAATTCACTTAGTCGGCAGGTTTGCTGCGGCGGGGGTATTTTTAAGAGTATTTTTACTATCTCTAAATATAATTTTACACTTTTTTATTACTTATCTATCAATTCCTATGTTGTGATACAGCACAGTCTACCGGTAGCCTATCCGTCTATCATGAGCAGTAGCTTATAACACTTTCTAAGGTTTAATATTTACGTTATTTATAGCAATGCAGTGTTTGGATAGTTATTAGTTGAGTTTGAGTTAGCTCTAATTTTAAACGTTGCCGTTTGTACAACTGATCCAAGATAAATAATTTGAAATGTCAAAATTGCACAATAATAATGATTGTGCAATATTGAATTTCGTTTATAAAAAATGCAAATCATGACGTTAATGGCTAACTAATGGCTGTTTACAGCGTTTTTAATTTTGTTTGGTTTGTCGTCTGTTTTTATACTATATGGGATTAACCGTATTTTTCATTACCTCCCCCCCCCCCCGCTACTAGCTCAGGTAATCGAGTATCTACAGAATAGTGTAAAGTATTGTAGCCTATGCTACTTGATTGTATTTTAATTAGCTTTATGTCAACAAAGCGTTCTGTGCTGAGTCGCGGTGTAGCTGGACGTGTCTGTACCACACGTTATCTTTATCTATCACAACAGTTGAGCTATTCCGTGCCCTCCCTCTTAGGTCTCGCGTCTGTCTAATTTTGAATAATAACTTCCTACATGAATCCTTAAATATCCTAAAATCCTATTTTAACTAATTGAATTCAATGATATAACTATTGACATTAATTAATCCACTTTCTATCTGGTGACTAGTAAAATATTTTTGATTGTCGTC